GATATGGACTTTGAGAGAGAAGTCATTGATGCTGTAGTCAAACGAAATCCTAATTTCCTATATAGTTGAGAACATTTTGGGCTTCCTTGAGAAGCACACAAATGAATAACAAGCAAAGATTAAGGTTGAATCCTCGTGGTTTTTGTGTGTGTGATTTAGGAGGAGAAATCTATATCTGTGAAGCTAAGAAAGTGAAAATTTTCATTGTCAATTAAGAAGAGACCGAGCCAGATGGTTTCAGCTTCATTAGTCGTTTGAAGGGAGATGAATCTTGAATAAGCAACTCCTTAATTGTACTCAACAATCTCATTAGTTGGATGAAAAGTCATTAAATTGACGATTATGTGGCAAGTTTTGGAGCTTAAAAGGCTTTTTTAGTGATCCAATAAATGTTGTCACTGTCTTGCAGCCACACAGTCAATGGGTTATTGTGCGGGTGTGTCGCGTTGTGTGGTGTCTTTAAGACATTCTGAGAGAGACACACGGGGAATGTTTTGCAAAATCTTCCACACAATGATGCTGAAGTGGCAGTTTTTGGTTGGTTATTCGCGTTCTTCATAATCTAAAGGCGCTCAGATGAGACTTGATGGAAAAGCGTGCATGCTTTTTGATATGTTGTTCGCTGGTGGTTTTCGCGGATCTGAGCAGAAGCCATGAAATCACGCAAAGCGGCGGATTTTGAGGTGCGCACGCCTCTTGGGAGAAAAAAGCGCGCACATCACTTGGCAAAATATGCCTTTGGATAAGCTGTCGATCGGAGAGGAGGAGTCTCAGTGGCGTCTTGATGGGGCTGTGTACAGAGTTCACAATATCCCCGCAGCTCGCTGGGAGTGAATTACCTACACTTCTCATTACTTTTTCCACCCAGCTGAGTGGGAAAATACATGGCATGGATGAGTAGCCAATGCTGCGCGCGGATAAATCCGCCAGGATTAACGGGCAGAAGAGCCGCGCGCGCGCGTGTGTGTGTGTGTGCGGATCTTGGGGAGATAAGGTCGAGCGAGAAGACTCTCCTCAAGAATAATACCGACAATTACCCCCCAGTGTGAAGAGTTGGAAGCTGCAACCACCGTACAATTCATTCGGGGCAAATTCATGTCCTTCGCAATTAACATGCGATATGCATGAGACATCGTTATCACGTTTCATCGATGCACCACGAATTAATAATTTATTCCAATTTGAATATTTCATAAATATTCACAAACACATTTTGCGTACACAAGCTACATTGTTCCCTCAATCATAATTTAGCCACGAGGTTTGCCTTCTTGCCATCTCGCCAACGTGCGTTTGGCTTCTTTTTCCTCAACTCCCGGCAATCCAGTGTCTTGTAGATCAAACACCGCGAGAAATGTGCAACTTATCAAAGGACGTGGCGAGGTGGGAAAATGCCAAAAGGGATTTTTTTTTGATATGTATATAATTATTCAAAGGGTGAATCGAAAACTATGAAGAGTCAGTTTTTCATAGTTTAAACTTTAAGTTGAGATTTGTGCCTTATGAGACAATAGTAAAAATTCTTATTTATCTAAAAAGTACAAACGGAAAAAATTGTCATGTTTTGCGAATGAAGAATCGAATATTTAATTACAATTTTCCTAAGAAAAATATCTCAAAAATTGCAGTCAGAAAATAATTTTAGATTTTCAGAATTATCTTAAGATGTTATTTAGGCGTTGAATGAATATTTCTTATATCTTTTAAATTTTTTCGCTTGAAAACTTTAAAGAAAAGTTCAAGTAGAATATTAAAATTTATTTTTTAAAACTTGTTTGGATAAAATCGACTTTGGAAAGTAATATTTTCAGATTTTCTAATAATTTGGTCATATTTTAATCAAAAATTTCAATAAATATCAATAAAATCAACTAAAACATTTAAAAAATAATGAGTATAGAGCATTATTTGCACTTTAACGGACGATTTGAAGGTGTTTTAAACTCGCTCTGCTAAAAAATTGTGATTTTGGCTTTTCATAGTTTTCGATTCACCCGTCGAATTATTTTATCAAGCTCAAAAGGGTCGCAGTTTAGGCGATTGTAGTGGAAATAAATTATAAATTGAGGGCTTTTCTCATCGAAGGGATGAAATGGTCAAACCGCAAATTAGATAAAGCTTTTCAGGACAAATCTGGAGATTCCTGGAAGCATTTCTCATTCAATATACATACATATCACTTTGAGAGCTGTGTAGTTTCCTCAATTATTCAAAATAGGTCTATTTAATTGGACTTAATGAGGAAATCTATCGTGACTGTCATTCAAAGTCACGGAGCGTCTAATGAAACATCACTTGATGGACGTTTTGCGAAACACTATGGGAATTCGGACAAGTTTGATAGGAGATTTCATGTGGATTTGAATGTTTAGACAAGAGAGAGAGAAAGAGAGGTTTTAGACACTCAAAACAAACAATAAATTCCCACACTTTTGGGCCTCTCGATGGAGGATCTTTTTGGGGGTTTTTCTTTGTGTCGCGACATCTCGTTGATTTGATTTATTAATCGGGGTGGACATCTAATTAGCAGCCACCAAAGTAGTTCTGAGATCTCTGGATTACGATATGGAGTGCGGTGTGAGTGTCCAAAAGCCACGGCGATTCTTTTTATTCCTTTTTCTCCACCCAAAAACGCTGTGGTATATTTCTCACATAGGCCAAGAGATTTTTTATTGAGAAGACGATGAAAAGAGTCCCCAAAATCTTCATCTCTCTGAAGGCATTTTGTTATTCCAGCACCGATAATGAGCTGGCAGAGAGAAAAGAAGCTACCTGAAATCAGTTTCACACATTCTCAATTTACATACAAACTCTTTTATTATGCATGGGAGATAAATAAAATTCGGGGAAGAAATTCCACCAGAGCTCAACACCATAAATGTAAATAATTGTTTCTCCACAATTTTGTCATAATTCAGTGTGAGACTTTGAGAGCTTTTTTGCTATTTCTCAACCTGATGGAAGTGGAGCTAAAGCACACGTCTTGTGCTTAACACAGAAAGAATCCTGCGATATCATCTCTTGATGGTTATATTTTAATATTTTCCCATTCACCTGACTCACTTCACAGTCTAGCTTTAAATGTCTAAGGTTTTTTTTTCCTTAGCAGCTGAGAAACATAAAATTTTTTGATCTTTTCACTGGAACAGAAATTTATACTTTGACATGATTGAAATGATAATATAACTTGGACTTGAGATATGAAGTAAATTTATTCGGCTGTGGCAGTTGTTAATTAATATGGATGTCATTAGTACAGAACAGAGTCTGATTATTTTACAGGCGCGCCTGAGTTGCTGGATTTATCTTAAACACTTGTGAGACTGGCAATTCTGTATCACAATTAGTTCTGTTACATTAGCATTATTGTTAGGAGGAGATAAAAAAAATTATGCTGTACATAATGTTGTAATCTTTTCAACGAGATTCACTCCGGAATTTATACATTGTGCTGAGGGAATGAGTAGCAAAATGATAAGATTCTCTCTTGAGAAGTTGCTGAGGAATTTAGTCGCACCCCTTTTTTGTCAAAGTTGACTAATTAAAGCATAATTCGTCATCTTAGCAACAAAAGACTCTTCGCGAGTCACAATTCTATAAATGAATTTAACCAGTAGCACAAGTTATTTAAATGAGATTCTCTCGAAATATTTTTTTTCTCTGATGGTCAAATGTAATTTAAAAGAAAATCTGTCTCCCTTCCACATCCGCCACACTCGTGAATTTTTATCTTACTCTCGTTTGGGGTCTGAATGGGAATTAATGAGATGCAAAAAGGGAAGTTTTCATCAAAGAATCGATAAAGATTTCTTTTCTTTCTTTTGTGTACTGTGTGTCCACAGGGAGTGGAGAGGAAAAAACTAATTAGTCTGAAATTTATAGTCTCAATTGATTGGCCACTTGTGTGGCTTGGCATTATTTTAATTAATCCCCGTGTTATGGTGTTTGGTATTTTCTTGGACTCTTTTTTCACCTCGACGCGCACACCAAAAAGACATTCTTTCAAAGTAACGTCTTCTGGGCAGACAATCTGGTGGTTCTTCGCGTCCGCAGAGATCCAGAGCAAGAGACAGAGAGAGAGAGAATCTCAATGTCGGACGCGATGGGTAATTATTGAAATTTAAAAGATTCCTCTATCAATTGACATCGGCGAGATTTAGTATAATCACCAAATGGTATGATGGAAGTAAAATGTGAAGCGAGATAGGAAAATTTATTGACAACACGCGTGGGTGATTCCGACAATTTATGCACAGCAATGCCAAAGTGTAAAAAAGTTAAATGATCTTTTTGAGGAATAATAATTTCACGCAGGACAAGAAGCTCGCCAGAGAGGAAATTGAAACCAATGCGATTTCAGCATCTGATACGGATCTCCAACCATATTCCCTTCTGGAAGCTCCCTTCTGGTCCGCAAAGAGTGTTCAGGAGTTGTGTTGAAAGATTTCGTGAATGGAATGAAATATTTGAACTGAGTTGAGCGCTTATTAATCACTTCTTCACATGCAAAATTACAATGGAAATGAGTGGAAATTATATCGACAGATCTAATCGTGAATTAAAGTGTTAATATTGCTCTGTAAAAATTTCTTTTCTAAATGTTTCGGCTGATTTTATTCGTATTTTTGCAATCTTTGCCTAATTTTCAAATACATTTTATCCAAAAAATTCTAAAAAAAATCAATTTTTCATATTTTATTTCCACTTTTTTAAAGTTCTTACTTTTAAAAATTAAATAAATAAGAAAATCATGAAAATCTGAGCCTAAGATGTTTATAAAAAAAGCGTTTTATGTGCAAAAATTTACTTTTCAACATCAAATTTCTCTCTATTTTCCAATAAGATGCAAATCTCAATTTTTTTAATGGTTAAAACAGATGAAAAGACTGATAAATTGACTTTTCATGCTTTTCGATTTACGACTTATTCAAAAAAGCATTCTGAAAAGGGTGTGAAATTGACGAAATTTTAAATATATCTTGTGAAAATTTCCCAATCAGGAGGAGGTGCTGAAAGAGGAATTGGCGGAGAGAGAAAAAGGAAGAGTGAGTGTGGTGGAGAAAAAGAAGAAGGTGAAACAGCAGCATAATTTCTTGGGGCTCTTCTTCGCGGGGACTATAAGGTTTCATTTGTAAATTGGATAATAAATTGTCCATGTCCGAGTGGTGGGGTGTTTCGCCTTTTTTGTCCTTCGCCAATGGAGTGCGCAAGAAGAATTTATATGCCATGCAGAAAAGTGGACTTTCAACACTTTGTCGTGCGATTTATTTGTGATTTGTTGGGGATTTCACTGTCTTCCTCCTTCCAATCTCAAACTCTTTCTCTCTGTCTCTATATGGGCAATTTTCTCGTGAATTTTGCGCCACGGTGAGAATGATAGGGTGTCAGCGGTGCAATTTGTCCGATTTCCTCGCCACAGTCAAGGTAGGATTTTCATGGATATGCCAGTTGAATTCACTCTCTGGGTAATATAATGTCCGCGGTGCTCATATGGGATAAATGATTATGTTGCGCATGGCGGAGGAAATGTATGTATCTTTAATGTCTCGTGGGCAACGTGTGTGGTCGTTTGGGGGATCTCTTTCTCTGACGCGCTCATGAAGTTATGTGTATGTCTCTTCTCTACATAATAGTTGAGGCCAATACGTGAGATACAAAAGAAGATGCTGAAGGTAAAATTGTCCGCGGAGATGGGAAGAGAATAGAGAGAAAGAAGGAGTAGTGAAGCTCACTGAGTACGCGATAAACTTTCAAATGGATTATAGAGACAACAAATCAGATAATCAGAGCGTCTGAATCTTGAGGAAAGAAGGCGGATCGGAATGGTTAGTTTTGCTCCAGCGAAACTCACTGCGCGGGGTGAAATGGCCTTAGAAGTCTCATGGCGAGAGTCTCAAGAGGTTGCACTCTTTCCTTGCATTGCGGTGGCAATTCCGTCGATTTGACTTGTGCGGAGGACGATGGCTGAGAATTGAAGATTTACGTATAAATTTGCATGCGTGATTAAGTAAATTGTCGATTAGTCTCCGCGAGTGGAGACAGTGTGCGCACATAAGAGATTCTGGGAGGCACAATACATGGCAATTGCTTGTTAATTAACTAATTAATTATTTTCTTTTCAACTCCATGATAATCAAATGAGAATATTCCACGGCATTTTAACACCACGGAATCTTTCAATTCCCAACCATTTTTGCCTTTGCCTTTGCCTTTGCGTTCATTCTCCGGAGGATGACTAGAATTCCCACTGATGCGGACTGTATAACACCTTATAATGTTTTGAGATCAATAAAAGGACTCTCGCTGACTGGCAGGTTAAGAGAAAGAGTAAGAAAATATCGCGCGAATTCAGTTCAAATGAGAAACGCGATGTACACAATATTTCTTCTCCTGTATGTTAAGTGAGGTGATGAATTTTATAGTTACTTATATATCGATTTACACACTTAAACAATTGACTTTGGAACATTGTTGTTGAGTGGATCAAGAATTGGTTTTCGGCCTTGTTTCACCCTTAAAAACACGCTGTGAAGAAGGTCCATTACAAGCAAATGCACTCAAGGCACCACACATAACTTCGCACTCTTTCCCCACATCGTCATCTCCTATCCGGCATAGTCATCGGTACGGAAGAAGAGGTGGTGAGCCAGAGAGAGAGAGAGAGGGAGAGATTGGGAAAAAGAGCGCAGTGGATGCAAAACTATAATCCTTTTTTTGTGTACAAATAAATTTCCAATACATGCCAAATAGTAGAACATGTACTCCACTCCACCCGCTGAAAGGTGTTTATGGATTTTCAATGGAAAATTTATTCGCTCGCTTGTTGGGCGCACATTCAGGGAATTGATCGTCCGTTCTGAATTTAGCTGGTAGGGTTTTTATTTGATTTTCACAAGGTAGAACTTGTTTAGGGATGCCTTACACTGTTTCCACTGATAGATTTACAGTCTAAGCATAAATAAAACGGTGTGGTATTTGTGAATTGTGGACCCTTTGTCAGCTGAATGTGTGCTAAAGTATCTACAGTGACTCCGAATCAAATAGGGCCGCCGACTCATAAAATCTATTCCTCACGTTATTAAAAAGGATCTTAGAAGCAGACATGACGGAATAAGAGTGATTACAGAATTGCTGGTGATCCACGAAACAGCTCTTTGAGCCATAAATCTCTACTTACTCCTCGATATATCGAAGATTCAACCGATATTTATGGGGTTCTCGACGGCGGCGCGCTCTGCCGAAATATTGCACAACTTAAAACGGACAAAATGGCGGTTCTGTTGCGAATGATTTCGTGGGATCTCAAAATCATGAAATTCTTCCGCAAATCTTCCATTTTCGCAATTTAATCGTAATTGAAAGTTGAGAGCAGAACACGAAGTCAAATTGTCGCTAGTGTCGACAAAGAGGAACAACCCCAGAGTGTGTACAGCGCCAATTCAGCCACGAATTATGGCTGATCCATATTTGAGTGCGTGATTACTGCTTTGGTTCAGTTTTGATACCAGAAAGGGATTGAGGATTAGACAGAATAGCTTCAAATTTGGCATGGTTAATACTTATTAATGAGGGAAGATTGGTGGAAAAATTCAGACCTCTTTAAGACATCGATATGTCTGAGAGCCTCGGGTGGCGCTATTTGATTGGGAGTCACTGTAATTGAGTATAGGTTAATGATCATTTTTGCTCGCACTTCCACCAGTCAATCTGCAGTGTTGTGACAATACGTCAAGTTGTATTTTGACCTGAAGGAGGAAAATTGCAAATGTAGATTAATAAATGGATTGTTTAATGTCTCATTTACAATGTCTCCTTGCAGCAAAATGATTTCAACATGAGATTAGGCGGTGGATTTTGTTCTTTGTCCAAAGTGTTGTTGATCAATTGACTCGTTGTAAAACACAGCGTAAGTGCCTCGTTATGTGCAACCTGGATGTTTTTCTCTTCACATTTCGAGACGAAAATTTTAAAGTCAAAGTTGACAGAATGGAACAAGCATTTAATGCTATAATTATTGTCACTGAATGCACATTTATTTGAGAGTGGCGGTGGGGTTTTTTTTTTGCTGTTGCTGGCTTGTTTGATTTGTTGTAAGTCGTTCTGTCCTGACATCCCTGGGCGATGTCTTGAGGCCTTTGTGTCACTCTTGATCGCGCTGTTACCTTCATCTGGGGTGGCATATAGTGTCGCGGTGGATATAAAAGTGTGTGCGACTCAGATGGAGAGTGAGATAGCCATCAAATCACGATGGTCAACTATTAAAAATTTAATGACACCTCAATAAATGAGTTTAGTGCTTGTGAGGAGATAATATAAAAGCCTGGATAAATACTTAATAAAATATTTGTGCCTTTTTTTGCTTTTCTCCCTCCTTTTTATTGCACTTGCTATGCCTTTGCCAACTCGCCATTCTTCCCCACCCCTCGATGATTCACTCATATGGCACAATTAACAGGACAATTCCAGGTGTTTTCTTTGCAAAAGAGACTTGATGAATTTTTCAAGGATGTCTGTTAAAAATGCTTTATGGCCTGTTGAGGAGGTGTTTGTTTCTTTTGTCTGTCAGAGACAGGAAATCCATGAAAAGTTTTGGGGGAGACGTTGAATTCAAGAAGGCAACATGAGGATTTTTAGTAGATTTATTAATGACAAAAGTTACGTTTCATTTAATTTGATTACTAGCCTTACTAGCTGTTAATTTCAACTACCAAATGGACCACAATTGAGGTCGGTTTCCTCTGTATGCTTTTTACCATGTCTCATGACACTCTTCCAATAGCTTCGAGGCATATTCAAATGGTGGCTTTTATGTTGGTGATTTCAAGACAAGAGTTATTGTTTGTGCCTCTTTTTTATATCCCTTTTTCCCCAAACTATACCACACACAAAATCCATTCAGATGCACAGAGAGAGAGAGACACTCAATGAAGCCCAGTGGGCAGATGGTTTTGGATAATACAAGAAAAGAAATAAATGACACCATATATCATTACAGTTGATTGAAAAATTAGAGCTCAGTTCACTAATTCTCACAGAATTAATGGTTGTGGACAAGAAGTTCGTGTGCCAAGGGAAATAAATTCACAATTTAGAAAATATATAACAATCATTGAGAGGAATTTGCGAAGTTTTTTCAAGTCAACCATTCTTTTGACTTCCTTTCTCTGAGCGGAAACCAAAGCATATATACAAATTTGCCCTAAAGGGTTGAACTAATAAACTATAGAATGGTAAATAATAAATAAGAAATTTGTTGTGCGCCTCTTGAGGATGGTTTCTTGTGGAGGTTTGAAAAAAAAAGAATCACCTCACAATTTAATTAAGAGAAACAACGTGAAAACAAATATTTTTACTGTTTCTCCTAATTGCTCAACAAGACAGTATAAGATGTGAGATGGTATAAAGTGTGAGGGAGAGAGAAAGAAAAGAGAAATAAAATCATATTCCATTTTTGTTAAACAATATTAATTAAGTCACTCTGAACAGTTGTAACTTACAGTGCTGGAAGTAATTTATTCCATAAATATTAATTTTAAAGAATTCACTTCCCCCATAAAAATACACATGGTTTCGTTTTTCTGTTTTTTGGTCTCCTCAGCAATATTTGCACTGTTGATAATTGGTGAATTGGTGGTATTTTATGCAAAGTTGCCAATAGTTGAACGTCAGGGAGAGTTTTTATGTGCAATAATAATCCACAGAAGTAGCAATTTAACTCCTTAACTTAATCACTTTATTTCTTCGCCCGCGCGCGCAAAAAATATCTTGTCTTTGCACGTAATCCCAAGTGGTGGTCGATGATCATCCAGGGTAAAAAGAAAACGTTTATAAACTGCCAACAGTCTTTGATTAAGAGGCATTGCGCCGACAATTGCCAACAATTGTTGTTGGGGAATTGAGTCATTTCGCGATGAAGTACACTTTAATTTTCATATGGCGGGGTTTGGAAAATTGAGACGTGTGAGCCATGGAGACGCCTGGTGATGTGTTTGAAGAAAATTCCTCCTTCAGAACGCCCGCCGAAAATACCATTCCCCCAGAGACGTCCATTAATCACATTTCACCACTCGTGTAGCGAACAGAGCGTCGTTTAATCATTTCTAAATGATTTATCTGTATTTTAGGACTGTCGACTAATTCTGCGTATGTAGATTCTACCATCAATTAGCTTGACACGTAAGAAGTGCGATAGCATGTGAAAAAATTATTGAACTCTCTCTCGCACTGTCTCAGAGGAAAATTCTTTCACACCCGCCAGTCATCAAGAAGATGTCTCTCAAGTCTTTTGCTAAAAATACATTAAAATATTATTCCTCGTGAAATACGAAGAATTTTGTGGCAAAAGTGTTATCTTTATACCTTCTCTCAGACTCTCTCTCTCTCTCTAATGATGTCAAGCAATTTAGGAGGGAGAAATTTGTGTGCCAAGAAAACTCATCTTCCGGAAAGTGCTCACAGATTGAAATACAGATGGAATATAAATCAACTCATTTCTCGCCACCCATTCGATCTCGCATAATCCAATGAAGTTCCTCTACATCCCAGTGAAGTTGAGGAGTTCTCCGCGTGACGCATAAATATGTCTTGTGTGACACTAAATAGCGTAAATGTGGCGTTCATTTTTCGTCACTTCTCGCCAAAGTCAAACGGCATAGAAAGTGGCACAAAAGTGTCTCTTGTGTGCACGCCATGGACAGAGAGAGAGGAAATTAGGGGAAAAAGTGACGAGAAATTCACTGAAATTTAGATTAATAATACTGTATATGCATGTATAACATCCCAGCAAAAGGGGTAAACATGGGTATTTGGAGCTGTGGAATGTGCAAGAAACTGTAAAATGCCTCTATTGAAGGCAAAAAAGGTTTTGCGAAAGAGAGAAATCAAATTGAGACGACAATTCTCAATAAGACAATTGCATCGATTTTATCACTCTCTGTTCTCAACTTCACATCCATTCATGCCACAGAGAGAGAAGCCCATTGAATTGAGCGGTGGAACTTTGCATTTGTACAATTGGTGCAATGAATGGGAGTACAAGTAACAAAATATAATAGATGCATCGCGATTGAAGGCTCATCTCCCGGCTCTCCTCTCCCCGCTCAGCTCCATTCACACGATAATAATGCGCTCACATGTAGATGTATATATTGGGCGGCAAAAGAGCCCCCAGATCGATAGAGTAATTCTCTTAGATGGGTGAACAAGTGCATGGCATACAACTCAATTTGAATTTATCCCCGTGTCCCCGGCGTAGACTATCGTGTGTCCCTTAAGTTTGTGGCGCAAAGACAGGAGAGGAGCAGCAATAAATTCATTCGATCAATTACAATTCAGCCGCATTCACTGACAGACATGCAACTTTGCCTTGCCTCCGTCATGTCCGGAGTCTCGTTGCTCCTTTTGCGCCCTCTCATTGGAGCCTACATATGCCTTGTGCGTGTGGCAGGGAAGATACGGAAACTGCAACACTGTGGTGTCATGAGCCTCTATGCCCGATAACGTGGCAATCCTGGGTGGTGGGGAAAGGAAAGTGGTGGGCCTCCTGTGTACAATTCCACCATAGTTCTCCAGGCCACAGGACTCGGAATTGTGGCCAAGAGAGGCGCAGCCGGGAACATACATCAAGACCATTCTTGTAGTCTTGCACACACAAGGCAAGACGTATGGCCAGAAGATGGATCCGATGTGCAATCGTAAATTACTTGGGGTGCTGTCATGTTTCGAAGATGCCCGTGTGTTGGAAACGAAAGGCGAACAAACCACCCCTCAGTGTCGCCAATCAAAGCCCACACTGACTGTGACTGAGACGTCAGAACTCTACCCATATCATGAGTATCTTCTCTCCACCATTCCACCGAATCTTGCCATTTGCATACTTTGTAATAATTTTAGCTCAATTGTTGGGCAAAAGCCTCGCGGATTTTGATTTTTAGAATACAAAGTAGCGAGACAGTGAAAAATGAATGAAAAATTCCACTTCCTCCATCTCTTTAACAAGCAATTATCCCTCTCTCGCGTTAAAATTGAGCATGAAAACACACCATCTTCATCTCATTGGGCATCCTATGGATGAAAAAATCACATGAATTGGGGTAAGAATGGTGAAATTATACACATCTCTATATACATTGTATGATTTATTGTTTTCTCGCATGAAACATTCTATATGCAAATAAAAATAAATAGAAAATAAGAGAGAAAAATATACTATTACGCACACCGCGCGCGGCCTGATGATTTCCATCAAATCCATCAAGTGAAATGCAAATTGTGAAGTGCGTTTGCCTTCTCGCATGGTAAATTATGAATATAAATATTGTAATATGAGTTCATATTTTCCTCACTCACTCTTGGGGCCTCAGCAAACACCCATTCACAGACTCCCGTATGTGCGTATATACTAATAGATGTTGTTACTTTAATAGATTGATTTAGTGAATAATAGAAATTTCTATTAATAAATATTAAATTAATTATGATACGCTTCATACTTTATCAGCAAATTGTGGTGTTTGCGTCTTGATTGCATTATGCGAATATTTTCTTGTACGCACCCGCAATGAAAACACTTGGCTTGCTCACTTAATTTTCCTCCTCCCTGAGCTGAGATGAATTTCATTTTTCAATGGAGCATTTGCTGGGTTTTACTGGGTTGTTTTGCAAAATGTCAATTTTAATAGCCACAATGTGCGCCATTAGATGCACTTTAGAGAGCGCGCAATTCGGCATGGATTTAGAGAGATGCAAATGTGTGTGCTGATAAAAAGTGGAGAGGCGGAAAATCTCTGGTGTAATCTTGATTTAATGTGACTTTATCTATATCGCAATGAGTTCTGTGAGTTTATTGAGAAAGATAAGCCTTCATGGAGAAGTTAATAGCAAAATTATCCCGATTTTTTTCAACATCGCAAACGATCATTTGTCGGCCGGCTTCTGTTTGTCGACTCCAATCTCTTCCACTTCGCATGCTCAATTTAGTGCGCATTTAAGAGCTCAATATCAATTTACTGGGTGTATTTTATTACATTGTTATTAGTTTTGGCATTAATCGCAATGGATATTCGCGCTGGTGGAAAAGCAATCCCTCGACGCATGGAAATTGTTCCCATCATCATGAGCTTCCCATATTGTCGTGGTCATAGTAATCAATGCACGTTGATTGCTGATGATGTGCTCCTCTCTCTTTTTTTGTGCCCTGCGCGAAATGGGCAGTGAACACTCCAATAATAGCAATAATAATACAAGTTTAAATTAATTTGTATATCGCCTTGTGGTGCTTCTACACATAACTCCATTCCGCTGCTGCTGCGATGTTGGTTAAATATAATTTTATGGTTGATGCTGATGGCTTGATTATGATTGTGGAAGAAATTATTTCGATATGCGTGTGTGTTTTTTTTTTCTCCTCACCACATCATGATTTCATATACGCAGCCACTCTGAGTTGTGCTGCTGTACGAATGAAATTGATTTTGAGAGGCCCCGAGGAGGCGCCAAAGGATTGGGAAACACAGTCTGATGATGATGAATTGATGGAGAGCGCAGCGTGAGTTTCAACAAATCATAGATATGAAATTTAATTTTCCAATTAACCCATAGAAACGCCCCCATGAATGAGGGTATTTTCCTATGCTCTCCGCCATGGCTTTCACAGGGTTGATATCGTCTCCACACGACACGCCGATGGACACGCGGCGATAAGACACTCTGATGGCGCTATTTGACTGTTGACATTCATGCAGTGAGACAGGCCGAAAATGTGGGAGGAAGTTGAGAAAACAATAAATACATCACCTGGATGGCATTTCTCCCTGGCCAAGAGGACGAGGGTGGAAACGTTTTTTTCCACCCTGAGCTTTTTCATGAAACATTCATGCATGGAAAGTGTAATTGAAGATATTGTGAGGATGATGAATATCGTGGTTTAAGTGAGGGCGAAATGAGCTCCATGATTGAAAGTATTATTAATGAGCGTTTAAGTGACATGTCAGAATATAATTTTGGGTCATTTTTCTGCCCTCTATATAGTATAGTTTTGGGGCGAATTTTCTCACTCCCTCTGAAGCGCGCCGCGATGCCCAATTCCATCAGTGATTTCACGTGAGTCTCAGCTGGGAATTACAACGTGAAACACGTGAGAATGAGTGCACGATAGCGAAAACTTGTATTACAGAATTGCAGCAAGACAGCCAAGTTTTCCGCCACCCTCAAGAACCTTTCCATATCTCTCATTGTATCGATATGTTGAGCATACTTTCCACATCTCACCACTATCGGTTGTTCCATCGTCGTGTAAAACACAAAATAGCTTATAGGTAGCATTTCACATGATGTCATGTGCTCGAGGGGCGACTCTTTGGCAAAGGGGTGGTGCTGCAGGGGAAAGGAGAGAGAAAAAAAATATGCGAGTTTTCTGTGAGACGAATGAATAATTTATGCATTGCGTAATTAAAAGCTGCCAGAGCATGTTTTTAATTACCCCCAACACGATTCCTGATATGACTTTGATATGAAAACATTTTGGCATATTCAAGTCATAATATTGTGAAGTTTCATGCAGTACAAATGGGCTCTGTCCTCTCTCTCTCTCTTTTACTGTCTCACTCTAGCCCAATTTAAGGTTGCTGTTAAATGTTCCAACTGAAGTAGAAACTTCTGTGGAAGTGTATTTCGCATCTGTCCTTACTTATAGATGGGCACACTACCAGACTGGTGTCGCTTGTAAATAGGCGATATCGTCTGCAAACACGCCCAAGGCCAAGCTCTGCTAGTCTGTGAATTTGACTGGCTCACTTGAAAAGCCTTGCCCTCTGAGTGGGAAAAAATCAGAGGATAACCGGGGGAGAGGGACGACATAAATAAAAATAAGATATCAATGAAAGTCACAGGCCAAAGCTGTACCGTCTGAAAGGTAACTGGATGACTGGTTAGCTTTGGATCTTGGCCCTTAAATGGGAAATTTTCCTGGGGATGCATAAAGGGCCCGTCAGATGGCCTGGATGCCGTGGAGCAAGAATTTCTTGTACCACCCCCATTTCTAATCTAATCTAATCTAATCTACTGTCTCACTCTGAGGTCAAAAAGAGTCCAAATGATGACTGGCGGGAAAAGGAGCCCTTGAATATGCCTTAAATTTACAGTGTCATGATGAGAATTGATGAGCAATTGCCAAGAAAAGCATCTAATCACAAGTCGTGATTGTCTTCTGGAACTTACAACTATTCAAATTCATCTGCTAAAAGTGGGACAGCTTCAATATATTTGTCATGAGACTGTACAAGTGGCAAAAAAAGTCGATGTACTTCTGCCGATGCGAAAAATGAGTAACACAAATGATGAATGTGCACGATAAAGGGAGGGTTGTTCTTATTTCTGTGTTAAAATTATTAAAACGTTTAGATTTCTATCAATCGTTCTTGTGTTTCACATGATGAAAAATATATTGTTAATTTATTCATTTGCCACTCTTTATCTGGCCATATTATTTTGTATTATCACGCAGTCAATCAAGGGGGTGGATTTTTGATGATGACTTTCAAGTATGATGTGTTGATTATTTAATTTTTCGTAACAAATACTCAACACTAACAAGTTTATTAATTATCTTCAATTTATATTCTTCTTTTTTTCTCTCTCTTTGCAGGATCCAACAACGGTGAGTGTTTTGTGCATTTTGTGTGCAAATTCAAAGTAAGTTTTGTGAACACAATATCATATCTGCGGGATGCATTTAATTGACGTTGCATGCGAAATTGAAGCACTTTGTGCGCGTTTGGGGTTGAAATTGAGGAGGACAATAAGAAGAAGATGGGCTGAGCGTAATCCTCAATACACTTGCGCCTCTAATTACAATTATCTCGATGGAATTATAAACAGTGGCGCCAGAGAGAGAGAAAATCCGCGCATAAGCATTGACTGAGTGGTGGAAAAATTAATTATATTTGTGGCTAGATTGAGAACAAAAACACCACACCACACTGAGCAGATGGATTGTGAATTGGAGGTATAATAGGAATACCCTGAGGAGGTATGAAAAAAAATTACTTTTATATAAATTTATTAAGAGAAGAAGAAACCCATAAACATGCAAACGAATATGCATTTGTACAAAAGAGAACAGAGCACCATCAGTCAAGTACGCAAAGATAATTTCATGCATCTTTTTGTGTCTTCATCGTCTCATTATACATATTTTTTGTATATTAAATATTAAATAATTTAATTATACAATAATATAGGAATTTCCCTCGCGTATTTGTGCGTACTTGAGGCAGTCACTCTGATGGGATGAGAGGAGAGAAAGGAGGAGAGGCAAGAAGACTTGGGAGTAAGGGAGGCAAAGTGGCTTATAAAGCATAAATTTGCGACGGTATTAGCCTTTCTTAGCCGTGTTTCTCTCGTATTATTACTTGCTAAGTGGAGTATATTATAAAAGCCTTATTAAAAGTCTCTCTCTTTCTCTCTCTCTCTTATTTACTTCCTCCCCTCCCGGAACGCACATTAAGTGTGTGTTTTTGAGTATAAAAATAATACAATTAATTTAATGAATTCAAATATTATTGCAAAAAGGGGGTTTATCTGAAATTTCCTACCATGCGCGTTCGGCCAAGAAAATTCATTTTCACAGTCAGGGGTCCGTCTTCCAGGTCTTTCAGCATTCCCGTTGATAGTATTTGATAAAACTTTATAGCATTAATTTGTATGGATATTGCTTCGGCGGAAGCCATGATATTTATTGCTTAATTTGTAAATCACATGTTAGAACTCTTGATTAACCCATGAAACAAAGTTTATCTTTTGTAGCTCGATTTTTATTCATGTGTCTTTTAAACTACCTGAATTAAGTGAATTTGTCTTTGAACACGCTGAAAGTGGTAAATTTTGGCATGATTCGTGAATCCAGAGTTAAAGATAAAAGCAAATTTTTGAATTAACAACAAAACAACTGTGTTTCAGATTGTTCTTAACATTTTCTGTGAACACTTGAACACTTGAGCAATATTTATTTCATTGTTCAATGTGAAGAGAGAAAAATTTTTATGTCTACGAACTATTTTTATGTGATGGGTTAAATTAATAAATTAATAATGAAGCCAAACTAGTAACTATAGTAGAAAAGTTAGGAAAAAAAAGCGTATGTGTATAATTAAATTTTCATCAGATTGTATATCACTCTCTTTTTGCCACCTTAATTGCTCTCAAATGCATTATTTATTAGTTGAGGAGAATTTGACAAAAAGCCATGGCAAACAAAATGGATCTTCACTCTTCTCATATCACTCTTAATTGCGATGTTAACTTGAAGTTTACACCGGTTTTCACACATATCACAGATTTCACTTAACATGATTTTATGAGGAGTCATGAAATTGGGGGATTTTGTGCGATTTTTTGGCAGAATTGGTTTGCGATTTGCAAGGTGCTGGACAATTTTTGACCAATTACCAATTAAGAGGGGCTATTGATGCCTCTGTCCACGATGTTGTTATCTTATATATATAGTATTGGGAAATGCGCGCAGTGGTTGCAATTAAGACAAAAAAAAGGGCGAAGAAGCAGCTTTGAATTTTTACATCTGCCCCAGTGTTTGCGTGTCTCGGGGGCTCTTTTCAGTGCAAAATGGGCTAAAATGTTTGGGAAAAAGGGGGGACGAAGAAGGAGCGCACATAAGGAAAAATAGGAGATGATAAAGAGCTGAGCAAAAAGGTTTCTTGGTCGACTGAGAGGCCAAATGGAGACAGAAAAGGAGAGAAAGAATGCAGGGAGGAACGTTATAATTTCATATTGTGAACAAATTTTCAGATTGTTTGTCTCTGATCATGTTAAACAAACTACTGAACCAAAAGAGAATGTCTCCTCAAATTGGGGGAGATGGTTTGCGATTGGGAAAAGGAAAAAGGTGGATTGCCAAGGGAGAGAGAGAGAGAAAGATGTTATCGTGGGTCTTCTGCGTTTCCAAGATCAGTCATTTAGTTGCTAATCACAAGTTTTGCTCAAGAAAATGAACACAAAACATTTATTATTGTTCTCTAGGGTTTCTATGCATCAAAGCTCAATGCTTTATAGCACCATTTGTGATAGTGAGACACGTGTGCACTTAGCCATGTCTTGTGTGGACGAAAAAGGAGCGAGAAAACGAGGAGTTGAAGCACATGAGAGATAAATATGCAAAATTTCATCCATGACTATTGGTCGTAAAATTAACGTGTGCATTGAAAGGTTGGGGCGTTTCATGTTCAGCCACATAATTCATTGATTTTATAGTTCATTGGTGAAAAAATGTCTTGAAAGTATAAATAAAATTGTTGCATCTTAATTGCTCTTGGGTGCTGATTTACATGAATGTTTCAATAAACACCTTATGGAGTAATTGAAATTGCATACATTGTGTAATTGCGGAGAAATTTAATTGGTATATTTCTTCCGAGGCAGCGGCCGAGAATGGAGTTTTGAAGAGTTTTGAGAGTAAATAGTGTGACAAACTGAAGGGTCACATATGAACTTCATTTATCATTGTTAGTCCTATCTGACGTGACATCTTTTTCTCAGTGAATTTCGTGGCCGCACAATTGGCGTATCTCGTGGCGAGGGATTAAAAAAAAATGTGTATAGAAAGAGGGGAAAATAAAAAATAGCCTTGAAGAAATTGGTCTCAAATGTTCTGTAGGTTATTTGTGAAGTTCGAATCGTCATTGGGAGGTGAACTTGAAATTTCTCTCCACTAGAAAATGTACTGAAACAACCGCCACGAACCTGCATTTCAACCATATAATCTTTCCAAATATTTCCTTAAGAATCTCTAAAGAGACTTCGTGACACACAGTTGCCACATTGAATGAGCCAGAGAGAAAATATAGCATTATGACATAAAAATTGTGAAAGGTGCAATTAAAAGCTCGTTCCTAGTAAAAGCAGTTAAATAAATATAAAATATGGGTGTAGGGAAGTGAGTATAATTCCAATCTTCTCACTCTTAAACAAATTAAGAGGGCATTAGTTGTAGGGAGAAAAAAAAACATTCCTTCGGAAAATGTGAGTGCACAATGTGAAGAGAGAAATGACCAAACTAACGAGACATAAATTAATTAATGCTGGGGGTAAATAAATAGTCCTCTTCTTTCTCTCTATCAAACTCAAAATGCACCCAAGCAAAATGGTGAAATTCTCTGTGCGTACTTAAGCAAGCGCCGATGGTATTTGGTGATATGAATGCCATAAGTGGGACTCAGAGACCGTCAACTCTGTGTGTTTTCGGGGGAGGATTTAGGCAAGCAGAAAAGTATAATAGCAACTGTGATGGTAATTGTAATGGACTGCTAATGGTTGACCGTTTTAAATATGATTGCTGGAGGAGAGGAAATAATATAATTGTGGTTGAGGTGAACTGCGTTTTTTCTTCTACTTCTTCGCCCTCCTCCATTTCATATCCATCCGCGTGTGTTTATTCAATATTTGTTCAACTAAAATGTTGGCAAACAGATTGTAGGTCGAATTTAATTGTCGGATACCTTTTTGGGGTCCCGCGATTATCAGTTTTTTTGACGCACTCTTTTGGCTTTGCTATCGATTGGAAATCAATGTGGGAGATTGTCGTCGTTTCTTCGAATTGTAGGTCGATGGCAGAGTCATTCTGGCCAAATGCTCAGTTGGTAATTATATTGGTGTAATTTCTGGAACATTTCATATTCGACGGGTGAATCGAAAACTATCAAAAGTCGACTAATAATCGTTTATGCTGTACATTTTGACTAAGAAAATTGTCTCAAATTGTAGTCAAATGTATAAAAAGCCTCTTTGAAGAAGACTTTTGATTTTTTTACTTGAAAAGTTTAAAGAAAAGATCATGTTAAGTAAGAAAAAGTTGATTTTTAGAACTTTTCTGAATAAAATGTGCTCAAAAACTATTAAAAATTGACTTTGTAATTAATATTTAAAGTTATACTATTAAATTTGCCATATTTTTGTCGAAAATTTGAAGAAATACCAGTAAAATTTATTGAAAAAATTCTGAAAATTATTATTAGAAGGTGTTTTGAGAATTTTGATGTAAATTCGTCAAATTTCCCAGCGATATTAATGCTAAATTCTCAATTTTCTTTCTTGAAAAAAATGACGATTTTGACTTTCCATACTTTTCGATTCACCCGTCGATAATAACTTGTAATAAATTTATGAATTAGTGAACAATTTTGAATGTACAGAGAGGAAATATAATGACTTTGTTTGTCTCTCATCTCTTTTTCATGTGGAAAATACGACTAATAACACCTCAATAACATGGATTTTTTGGGGGCAAAATATAACGAATCCAACGACAATGACGATGACAATGTGGAAATCCTGTATGATGATGGCGCTTCTGTTTGGGGTGGAATAATTACTCTTCTATGCGCGCTATCTCCCAAATTGCCGATGACATCTCCAACAATGTGATAATGCACCTAAAGGGCGTGAGTATATTATTACAATCAAATTATATGTAATTAATTTCTAGATTTGGATTTGCGTGTTGAGTCTATTTTTGTCCAGTGGGTGTTGAGTTTTTAGTCTCCGTGTGTTTGTGTGTGTTCTACAATTGTCTGGTGCATATTTCACGGCTCAGGGTTTTCACAAATTCGCCTCCCAGTTGCCGAAGAAACGAGGCGGGGAAGAGAGAGAGAGAGAGTGAGTCCAGGTGAAATGATCGTGGCAATAAATGTCTCCCTGAGGCGATAATTGAATTGAAGAGTCAACCGTCTGTCTGTCAACTGTGACTCAAAGGAGTGTCACTCTTTAATTTTCCTCAGCAATCGAAAGTGTAATCATTGGGACGAGGAGATCCGCTCGCGATGCACATTGCAGCGTTTTCTATATGGCGCATTTCGCTTTGGCCAAGAGAGGCTAAATGAGAGAGGCTGGGGATGCAGAGGAAGAGGTGGAATTCATGACATGAGAATCGAGTAATGTCTCAATTTTTATTATCTTTTGTCGTGCCTTTGACTCACATAATTTATTTGTGGCCTTATTTGAAACAAATAGGGAACAGAATATTTTGTATTGGGCCGCCAAGTGGCGGCGTCGAGTCCTCGCGGAGTCTGGAGTGGATCGGAGTGAGAGCGCGAGAGGCTCGCCGGCGATATCAGGAGGGAAAATCAATCGGAATTGTCTTCATGTTCATGGGGCTATGTGAGAGAGAGCGTGGAAGGATGGTGAGATGGAGACGGCGAGATGAGCCCGGGATATACCTTTCAGACCCAATATGCCAGTCGCACAAGTGGCGCCCAGAGAGATTGTATATTTTCCGCGGCACGACATCCCGTGCCCTTGTCGTCTCTTTGCCGGATCGCGGGAGGGCAGCAAAAATATCATCAGGAAGATATTGAACAATAATATTGGGTGGGATAAAAGGGAAGCTGAAGAGATGCATAAACACAGAAAGTAGCATGCAATGTGCAGAAAGGTTAGATATTTAGCTGAATGCTGGAATTTTTGAGTCGTCAAATTTATTTGAAAGTTTTCAAATTGAATAAAATATAACGCTTGATGTATGATTTATTTAATTGTTCTCTCCGGATTTCTTTTTTTGGAAAGTCAGATCTCAATAAATCTCTATATTTTCCTTCTTGTGCATTTTGAACATGCATGAGATCGAGCAATGAGGCAAAACACCTTTTCAGTAGACCAAATGCGCAAGGGTGAATTGAAGAAATACAGAAAACACAGTAAGAAGTTGTTTATGGGAAATAATAAATAATGAAGAATCTCTTTTTTTATCGTCTTTCAAAGTTCCTGCATAGGAGAAAAAAATGGCGAAAAATAAGATAAAGAAATATGCGATGAAGATGAAAATTCGTAGGCGTTAAACATTCCACGATTCTGTGGTGGATTTTCTCTCTCTCTTCCCTTTCGATAATAAGAAAAAAGAGAGAGAGAAGAAATCGAGTTGGACTTCTGCGCATTCTGTGTCTAAATAAACAATAATTCATTTTAATTTTAAATTCAAACAACGACTCTTCGAATGCGGTTTTTTTTTCTCTTCTTTTTTTGTGAAGTCGTTTTCTTCTTTCACGGATCGTCGAAATTGATTGAGCCAGAGAAGCACATTTGCGCATGAGAATGAAGAAGTTCACGCCGAATTAAATTGTGTGATGTATTAAAGGGGAATATTTAAATTGTGGGCTTTTTGGAGTGATTAATGAGTGGTCATTGATCATTCCATCTTCACTTTTATCCGCGCGCTCACACAGGAAATGTTGCATGGCGTGGAAGAGAGGAATTGTGGAAAATCTTTTGGGGAATTTTTGACCATCCCAGTATGATTGATTCGCGATAATTGCTGGGGTTGTGGTGTGAAGAAATCGTGTGTGTGAATTGTCTAATTGGTGCTTCCTGAAGACGTGAGATGATAGAGTAATTTTGCAGATGGAACAATCACATACAATTGTGTGGCTCGGAAATTGGTCAGCTTCACCTGCACACAATTGTTGGTCTCGTCTGTCCTCAATGCGTATTACCCCATCATCGTGTTACGTATATATCCTAAGAATGTCAAGGGAGAGTGAGAAAGAGAGAAATTCCCTTGGCGGAAGAGGATGGTACTGATGGTGGAGTGTTTTTCGTCATTTCGATGATGGCAATTATCGGATTTCCTTGGCAATTGCTATACGGTGGGAAATTGGTGCCTTTGTCGCCGGTGTCTCCCCTTCTTCAGGCGTTTGTAAGATGTACAATACAAAAAGGCCCAAGACAGTGGGCCCCCAGACGACGGCGATCGCGTGTTGCAGATCGACGACAGGTGCAAAAGAAGCAGCAAAATGCAAAAATACATGTTACCAACCATCAATCCAGAAGGGAAACACAATCACCTTGTTGGATCTCGCGTTCTTTTTTTCCACATGAGGGGGCAAATGTGAGGCTGAACTGTTGGGGGTTCGGCGGTGGCACACAAAGTCCTCCTCTGTTGAGAAAAGAGTCCCCCATTTCAATTACTAATCGATTCCTTTTATTCACTTGCCTTGTTACCTTATTGACCATTTATGTCCCTCCGAGTGCGGAGAAGGATCACTTCGACTGATCTCTGACAGATTCGAATTAATGCCAATTTCTCTTTCTTTCTTTCTCTTCCCTTCTTGCATTGGGTTGCGATGGATAAACAACACACTGATGGCGAATGGATCATGCGATTTTTTGGCAACTCATGGACTTAATCGACTCAACAAATCAGTATGTAAGTATGGCATTTAGTAATTTAACCCCGTATATCGTTATATGTTGATAAGCCAAAAGGGATAATTGCAGAGTATTTAGAGAACTGCCGTCTTTTGACAAGAAAATAACTCACGCGTCATTTCATTGTGTAATACATTTTAAGTCCGTGGATGGAATTGAACCTCAATTTGACCTGAATTACTAAGCAGAAATTTCTTCGAAAGTGTGACCCTTTGACATGAAATTCGAGTGTTTTTTTTTATCAGCAGCATAGATTTGTCGACGATTTGGGCTTTGTGAGGGACTTTATATATGTAAAAATTGCTGCAAATTTTCCAACATGCCTTTTGATAACTATCACACCTCTTTTGTATATTCACATTGCACTTGACGGCGATTAGCAGACATGAAGAGCATACTTCACGTCATACATATATTGCTTTGATGTGGTATTCTTGCCTGAGTTGGTTTCTTTTCCGCCACTCTAAGCACAACCCCGCATCGTGAGTGATCGCCCAAGCAAATTTATGTAAAATGAAGCAATTTGCTGCAACTACCCTCAATTTTCACGAGCCACTCACCCCCTCCCCGAAACGCGGAGAGTTTGCAAGGTGTCAGAATCTTGTGTTTTATTGCCACCCCCGTGTTTCCTTGTACCCACGACAGAAGCTGACTGTTTAACCACTTCCGATTGAGCGTCAGTTGAAATATGAGTAGAAGTCAGTGTGTGTGTGTTTGTGTGTGGGTTGCCCTTTTTTTCGGGGTCGGTGAAGTGTATTAATATTTTGATTAATGTGGCAGAAACTCCACGCGAGTGAAGAAATTAGCCATGGTGGAGGAGCGAAGTGCCTCTCCAACTCCGGAAGCTTATTAGGAAAAATTCCCCATGCAATCATGGTAGAAGATGGAGAGAGAAAATGCTGCTGATGGTGAATCAGAAAAGTCACATGTAATTTTTCGTGTGTTTACACTAAATCGTTCCCATGTGGAACTTTTCTGTCCTCCTCGTGGGCTCATAAATCACCCACACTTTGCACCTTCAATGCTTTTGGGGCTCCTCTCTCTCTCTCTCTCCCTAATCCCATTGTGAATTCACGAATGGCTAAATGGCACCTTCTTTATTTATTAGATGAGAGAAGATAAAAAGTTTCTAGTAGTCGTTTTAGTCCGGGTTTCAAGCATTCCTCACGCATTTTTGCGCCCTTTTCGCGAAGCAGACAACTAAAATATTTCGCGCCCAAGAAGAGAAACTCCGCCAAAATTGTTGGCGATCCTTTGGCTGGGTGGAAATTCTATCTGGACAGAAGAACAGTGGATGCAGGAATACCTTTTTGTGGAGGTAACAGAAATATTTGAAAAAATTACACTGTTAAAAATGGAGAGAAGACAAACTTTACTCTCAATCCGAGCGCAAATGTCACATAAGAAAATTCAGCACAAGTAGAGCGCCGGTTTTCAGAATCGTGAAGTCGCGGGTTCAATTCTCATGCGATTCACTTTTTTTTCACAACTCTTTCCTTTTTCGGGTATTTTCCTTGACTTTATATCAGCATTTCTCCCTCAATCTCTTCAAGACTTTTCTCTAATAATCCCATGTGACGTTCGGAATTGCTTTTCTCTCAGGGAAAGGAAGTTTTTTCCCCTAACATTCTTTTTAGCGCTTTAATGTCCATTCATGGGCTTGAAACTTCTCTTGAGAACACTTTTTAAGGCCTAAAATGTAATTTTTCACCATATTTGCGACAATACTCGCTTGGAAAGCAGCTAATATTGCATGTTTGCTACTTTTTCCTTCGCATTGCGTTCATAGGTTCGAATCCAGCTTGCGACAAGTTTTCTTTTCATATATTTTCCTGTTTTGGTATTTTTTCCTACCACAATTTAACCAATGAGCAAGTGTGGAGAATCTAAAAACCTCCCAATAAATAATTATCCACCAAAATATATGAATACTTCGTTTAAATCACTGAACAGTGATAATTTGTCCGTGTTTTTGCATTAATTTCAATCAGTCAACAATTGTAGAATTAGCATTGGATTTAGTGTATTATTGAATTCAATCCCCACAAACTTTTGTCTCGCTATATTTCTGTGTAAAACTCTGGGAACAGAAGCTTCTTCTCCCATGGCTGAAGTCCGGAGAGTAAGAGTGTGCAGAATGGCGAAAAGGAGCAATGCAAAGTTGGAGCACATGTGACTCCACGCTGGTCCGAAAGTCCCCCGATTTCAGTGTCATCATTGTCCACCACGGCAATTCCAATGGTGAAGAGTCGACTTTATGGTGCGCAGAACACAAGAAATACCGCCCCATTGTATTGAGGGAGAAATTTATGAGTTTGTGGGAGACATCTGTGTGCGAAGATTTCACTAAAGTACTAATTTACTGAGATACCCATTAAATTGAAATCCCCATCCCCGCGCGTTCAGTGATTTTTCCGCGTGGGGAGGAAGGCAAATAAGATTAAGAGGAGAGTGAGAGAGAGAGAGAGAGACGAAAAAAAAGTCCGTGACCGGCAAAGAGGAGCGATTTGTAGATGTTCTTGTGTTACAAATGAATCTTACTAGTTATCCTCCTGCAGAGTGTATTGGCCATTGTGTCTCAAGCGCGTATTAACTTTTTGGACTCGCTGAGACATCGCATTAGAATTGCATGAGGGAAGATCGAGAGTGTATGAAAATGGAGAGGAAATTTCACATGTTACTTAATTGAATCAATTAGTCGAAAGGACTTTAATTAGCAGAGAATTGTAATTTTGTGAATAGAGAGAGCCAAGAATGCCAAGAAATTTATCGACTGAATGTGTCTTATTCTTGTAATTTTCTTCTATTAACTCATTCTTTGAAAATGCTTATGTAAGTGAAATTTCTCTTGTGGTCATATAATTAAGAAGGGGAAACAGACGCTATATAATCTCTCGATCATAAATGAAATTCTTTAGAAAATAAATAATTTTATTAGGAGAGAGAAAAAAAGGGGTAAACTTGGGAGTTGGATTTACTAAGAAAGAGATCTCTATCTTTCTTATATGAATCGCTTCTGAAAGGTGAATGAAGAAAAAAAAGTGGGAAAGAAAATATGGCCATATATCAAATGTGTTTAATTTATATTTTATGATTACTGGGAAATTTCATAATCGCACATAAAAAAGAGGTGAAAGAAAAATTCATGTAATTTTTGCTGTTATGGAGAATTCTGGGTATAGGAAATTGATGGTAAATAAGAAATTGATAAGAAATCAAATCATCTGAACTCCTTTGTGAGGCTGTTCGCGAAAGTCTCTTCGCCGTACACACGGAACAACTTATCATTGAGGAGTGAAAAGATGTGTGATTGTGGTGTGAATTATTTGGTGTAAAATGTTTATCATTATTTTCATGTAATACACTATCTTATTGAGTTGTTATTTATTGCAACTGAATCGCCCGAGTTATCTGGTGAGCTCGGCTTTTGCCCATATAAAGTGTGTCTTGCGAAGCAGTTTTGAGGATTTATTGGATTGAGAAAGAGAGACAGTGGTTGGAGATCGTCTAAAATGCTGTCGCATATAATAAATTTCAGCCAGAATGCCTTCTGCAGCGCATTGCCATTCATAAAAGTACAAATTTGTGACATGGGAAGATCATTGATGGGAAGGAGCGCGCGATGTTGCGTCTGATTCTTGGGCGCGCTAATGCTGAGACTTGTGAAAAGTCTCACAAGAAGATGAAATACAAGGGATTGACCGAAATGTGGAATAATTGTATTTACTTATTGACATCAATGATGATTTATTTACTTGTGATCTTCCTTGAAAACTAAATGGCAATCGAGTGATCGTGAAGTGAAAACTTAAAAATCCCTTCTATAACCAACGCATGTCTTTTATCACAAGTCTGGCATCTTTTTCTTTCTTGTGCGCGCGCACACAAGACTTTATGAAATGTCCCATCATAAATGTTGGCAGTTCATATAACAATATAAATATATATGTCTTTTTTTGATCATTTTTGCAAGAGATGTTGTTTAGAGTGTATTTGAGTGTGCACGAAGATGGCAAAAGGAAGAGAGCGAGAAAGAGCAAAAAGTCTCTAAATACGCGATTTCTCCACTGCAACTGAATTTAATTTTTATTGTAAATTTTCTTACCTTTTTATGCCCACCTTTAATCATTTATCCCTCCTCTTATGAGCAGAGTTTTTCATGTTGGCCAAGTCGACAAAATGACCGGGATTTCTTGTTTGACGCGATCAGATAACAAAAGCAAGTTTATGAGGTATTTATACGATAAATGTGTCTCTCTGGGACCTTTTTTCCTCTCTCTCTCTCTCTCAACATTGGACTCTCTTTTCCGTCTTGTTTGGGGTTAAGAAAATGAAGCAATTATTGCGAAAATTGTGCACATCGTAAACATAACACGACCCAGGGAGATGGATGTATGTTTTTCTTAAGAAGCCACGAAAGATCGAGAGTAGAGCAGATGAAGGTAGTAATAAGACGAGATCAAACTCTGCAGAAAGGTGAAATGTGCACTTAGCATGTGTATTTAAATTGAAAGGAAAAGCCATTTTGGCTCCCATCTCGCTGCTCAAATGCGCGTGAGGCGTGAAGAAATCGGCAAGAAAAAGTAGCGACAAAGGAGAAGAATTTTATTGTTTGCTGAATAAATTTTTCCTCTTTGGCCACAGTGTGCATGTTATAGTCATGAAAAACTGCAACAATGTCGAGTTAAAATTGAATTTTCACACACAGACTGAATGTGTTGCGGTGCAAGAAGACAAAGTCTTGAGCATAAATAATCCAGATTATATAGGAAACAAATGGACAAATAAATCCATTTAGAGTGTCGTTGGGTTATTGGCATTTGCCGCATATTCATCTTTAACTCATTTCCATGGGGTTTTCCTCCCTTTTCAAATAGAATAGATTGAGGTTGGAAATAACGAGGCATCATTAGAAAATAATAGCTGATGCTATCGTGGCCGATTGTGGGCATTTTATCACTGTCCACCAGATCCTCCGCCACACCATGATATTCCCATAAATATCCACCCTCAAGTGACCACGAGTGAATTGATTTGAATTGAATGCAGGAGGTGAAAGTATTTAGTGTGAGGGAGAAAGGAGGAGAAACTTTCGGCGTGTTTGGTCCTTTATTAATTATTCAGAAAATGTGTGGATAGAAAACACACCCTCAAAGCCAATTGTTGTAAGTTCATTTGGAGGGAAGCACAGAGACATGTGTTGAGAGTCACACACTGATTGTTTTCCGTTTTTATCTCTGTCGAATTGTTAATTTTCCTCACGTGGAGTGAGATTCTCGCTGAAGAATACAATTTGAATGACAAAGAAGGGAGAAAATGCCTAAGATTGAATGGATGAGGGCGTCAATTTTGCAATATCACGAAGAATTACTAGTTAAATCATGATATTTGAGACTAATCTTGGGCAATATTGTAAGAAATAGAAACCCTGAAGATCTCTTATTCAAAGGACAATGTCTAATTGTTCTTCTTGTGATCCTCCTGGATGTGCATATCAATGGAAAGTCCACGTGCTGGGTGTGATTTTCCGAGCACGTTCAAGCTCGTGCCGATCATCAAAGGTCCGACGGTTAATTCACCATTTGGAAGCGTGCATTTGGCGCCCCAAAGTCAAAGGAGAGAAACTCCATCCACTGAATGCTTTATTAATTTCCTCACATTTAGTGAAATATCTCATTTCACTTCACCTCCTGATGTGTGTCTCCTTTTCTCTCTCTCTCTCTTTGCAGACCGCTCTTCACTGGGCCGCCAAACACGGAAATGAGAATGTTGTGAAACTGATTGCCGGCACTTACAAGGCGAATGCCAATGCACAAACGGTGTGTATTTTCAAGTTGTTTCTGCTCACTCACATGAAATGCCTCAATAATTAATAATTGGCTCGTTTTGCCGCCTCTCAATTTTATGTACGCATTCCAAAATGACTCTTCTGCCAACCCGTGCCTGATGATGGTCTTCTTCTATTGACAAATTGACGATGATGACACTCTTTCTGGATGCCGCAATTGGGGTGAAAAAAAAACACCGAAAATCAAAACAGAACGGCGTAAGTATTTTTATTCATATTGTAATTCAAGGGGGAGATAATATGCTCTCAATGTGTACACCACTTCCTAACACTTCCAGCACTTCAAATTTTGAGACTGTTTCTACAATATTTTGCAAATTATTCTAAATATTTTAAGGTTTCATGCAATATTTCTGTAAAAATCAACTTTAAACCGCTTTTTTGAGCGTCTTTTCCGATCATAACCTCAAAAATATCACTAAGAGATCTTAAAGAATTCCAAATGGAAGTTTTCTATGTGCTTAAATCACTTTTGTTAAGTTAAAATTGTGAAGAAAGTGGTCTATCCAAACATTTTTCAAGTCCACAGTACTTTTTTGAGGTTATGTTTGACTTCAACACAATTTGCAGTGTTTTTTTGGCGTGAAAATGCCTAATTCTGTCAATGGTTAGCAATCTAGGTGAGTTTAGCATAAGAATTGATGCGCTAGAATGCGAAAAATTCACAAAATCCGTCCGTAATTTGTTACATAACCTAAAAAAAAGATTATTACGTTTGTTTCTACGTGAAAATCGAAGGAAATTCAGAGAATCGGGATGATTAATCAGTAAAAGAAACACTCAGGAAATGAAGATTGTGTGTTTTTGAACACTTCCACTTCTTAAGTACTTCTGCTGAGTTGTACACCACTTCTGACTGTATTATCTCCCCTTTGTTGCAACCTAAACTTAAGATAGAGCTTGAGAATAGAGGCGAATATCATCGCGAGGTGCGCGAGTCCAATTCTAGAGATAATTTATTGTAATCTCTTTTATTTCTTAAACATTTCCCAACTGCGCTCTATCTTGGTGACCATAAGTGGTGTGTTTTCTGTCCAAAAGAGAGAGAGAGACAAGAATGAGCGCAGCGAAACCGCGTGCAAATTTCCATACTTTGTGTGTACTTTTATTGTGTGTGTCTCTTTAACCTCGACCTTTTTTGTCGTGAAAATGGGTCAATCTGGATTCCCATAGGGTTCGCACGAAGGATTTCCACAGCAATCAATCACGCCTCGTGAAACATATTTATACAATTTCAGCAATTTTCTGTAAAACATCTCATTGAAATGCAATAGATGTTGAAATAATCGCGTGATTATTCGTTGATTAAAATCGATTAATTGAGAGATTATGCTTTTTTTTCACCTCATGCTAATTGATCCATTTTATCAATGCGTCACGCATAACAAAATGCATTATATTTAATGAAAGATTAATGCCTCTAAGGATTTAATGCGCTTTGTGCGTATCTGGCGCTGTGCTTAGTGATTTTCGCGCCCTATTATTGTAGAGAGAAGAAATGTATATAAATCAAAAGCATTTCTATACTGTTATGGGGAAAATATCTCCAGTGTGTAAAAATAATTTTCAACCCTGCACAGTTTGTGGGTCGCGCAGGTTAAAGAATTGGAGATCCGCATGGCGACAGTTTTGTGTCCATTTCTCTCTCTCTCATTCAAGTTTTTGTGTCTATCACAAAGTGAATCTTGGGAATCTGTCAACACATCAAATTATGAGGTAAATTCTCCGTGACTTCTCATTTTTATTATTTTGTGATTAATTGTGGGCAAAAGTGTGGTGGACAAAAAGACAAATGATCTGGGAAGACAGCAAAGGGTGCAGAAATAGAGAGAAAGAGATTCCTAATCTGCAAGATATATAAAGACGCGCTGTCTATTTGATGAAAATGGTATTATGGGAAAAATTATGTACAATATATCTATGTGAATTAATTATGTGCACCTTGCTGAGGATGGTTTAGTGCCATCGCGGAAATTTCCAGTTGTTCTCCGGCTCTTGCAGCGTGTCTCTTGTGAGACACGCAGTGGGAATAAACATTGTGCAAGAGTGACCAAAACACTCACTCTGAGTCGCCTTCCGTCCACATTGTTGCACGGATTAATAAATTGGCAATGACGACGGGGTGAGAGACGCATTCAATCAAAACGATGTGAATTGCAAAATTACAATATAATAGTGAAATTTTAATGTGCGGTAAAATGTATGGCAAGAAGTGCTCCTCTTCTTCTCTTTGCCACATCGTCAACATCAACCCATTCTTCGGGCTGCTCAATTGAAGTCAAATGTGGCGCTCTGCGTCGAGTGTTGTGTGTGTGAATTTAATTTAAAATTCACTGTATAATTTGATTGACAAGTTACAACGGACATTTTTTGCTGCATCGTCAATGTTGATTTGGTCAAATTGAGTGTGAGCTGTTGAGGCAGGATACAAAAGGCAATTCCTCTGACATACCATGAAAATTGAATTTTCTGCAATTGTACAGCAATTAAAAATTGAAAACTCCCCTGTATTGTGTTCACTCTTTCCATATTGGTGCATCTCTTGTCGCGTCTGTGAAAATTTTACGCTTCAATTTCAAATTTAAAGTGGTTGGAAAATGGAATATTGTAATAATTGAAATGTGGGAATTCCTAATGCTCTTTCTTCCTAAGCCTCTTCTCGAGTATATTTTCCAGTGTGTTTTATTTTTAATAAAATCACATGTTTTCCTGAGTCGCGTGTAGATGCTCGCACGGTGGAAAGAGTGAGAGAGAGAGACGAAAAGGAGGCACGAATGTTGTATTTGTGAGTAGCAAAAGGAGCCAATTTAGAATCACTGTTCACCCCTTTTTCCGCTTTTATTTCTCAATCACAGAGGGTTGACTTGGTGAAATGATGCGGAAGGAGTTTGCTGAAGAAGTCACCATGTGAATGATATTACCGTCATATTTTACAATTTTACACAATATTAAATTCTTTTGCATGGCAACAGGGAAAAAAAGAGGGTTTGAGAGCGCACAATTTCGCGTCGAATGCGAGAAATGGAAGTTTCAGCATTTGTGGAATAAATTTTCCTCGACATTTCGCGAAAAGTGACAGTGGTTGGATCATTTTATTGGATTTCTGCTTTATGCTGTGTTTTGATGGAGAGAGAAGGAGTGAAAAGGGGGTGAAAACTAATTTTTCTGCCTATGTTTCATTGCAACCCTTTTTCGCATTCACACTCAGGACAGAGACTTGATCATGGGTTTTGTGCAACAAAAAGAGTTTTATTCCAAATTAATACAGAGTGTCTCATGTTTGGACTAATATGTGCATGGGATATTTTGTGTGAGAGAGTGTGCATAAATTCATGAATTTCATGTATTCCATGTTGGCGAGCATCGTTCCACTTGGGAGGACACTCGAGAGAGTGAGAGCACAAGCAATAACTCCACAACACAACTCTCTGGGTCATTATAATTTCACACACGGGACAAGACTCTTAATTGATAACCGATGTCGTTTTGCCATGCTGGAGAATTTCAAATGATCATTGTTCAATTTCAATTGTTATACACATATCTAAATATATATGTTGCAAATGTGTTTTTGGGTGAAAATGCGAGAAGTTTCACTCAATATTATAGAGTTAGAAGTAAACCAATAAATACGAAAAGGATTATCATTTGGCAAACTCTCATACCCACAATTACACGGTGCTTTATTCCAATATATAATGTATCTCCTTTTGCTATTCCCTCGTCGACAATTTGCTTAGCGATTAGCAAAGTGATTCTCTCTCTCTCTTTGGGTATCATTTCAATGGCTAGTTGACCAGCCAAGTCAAGATTATATGTCGCTACAAATGTTTTCACATCATCCGAACAATATTTTCCATACTAATATTATTTCATATTCACCGACAAAAACACACAAACACACAAGAGCAACATGAGCTGCAGAAGTGAGTGTTTTTATTTAGCATTTGTGCAAAAAAAAAATATTATCATTTGTAATTTTTATACCTAATTTACATGGTTTATTCTTGTATTGTTGTGTTCGATGGGGCACAAAAAGAGTGGTACTGTTTTTCATACTTTGAACAGCTCCAGTTGAAGTTGTTTTACGACGGCAAAATGTGTTTCTTATATCTCTCCCTCTCTCTTTGATTTGAAGGGAAAAACTCTACGTTTTAAAAGTATGAACATACTTTTTTTTCGCGAAGGATTAATAACAAAATAATACCAAATAATTGGTAACTTTTTTTTATTGATAGTTATTAAGACATTTGTAGAGATTTGTTTTACAACCACTCGTAATTTGCCTCACTTATTACTTTATGATTTTATTGCCATGTGTGCGCTTCTTACTGAATAAGTCCCATTCACACCTTCTCTTCTCTCTCTCACTCACTCTCTCTCTCTCTTTCTCTCTCTCTCTTGCAGGGATACACGCCACTCCACATATCCATGCAGTTTGGCCGCGATAACATCTTCGAACTGCTCCAGAATGTCTACAGTGAGTATTGAATTTATTTTGTGCGCCGACAAAAAAGCCCCAAATATGGATCAATCAAGCCTCTTGAGTGCTTACGTGGTTGTCTTATCAAAATGTTTGCTCATCGCCGAAAAAAAAAGAGTGTGAAATGGGAAAAAAAGAGAGAGAAATCACGGCATTTTTCGGCAGAATGACACAAATGCGTTTTCAATTTCTATGTAAATATTGATAAAAGTCTGTGTGGTTGTTGTATTTGAGTGACTGATAGTGGAGGTTGATTTTTTTTTTGAGGGTAAAAGTTATTTTAATAAAGACAACATCAAAGGAACCTCTTCAGCGCACTCAAATATACAATCAACCATAGATTGATGGGTGAGAAGAAAAGGCTTTTTGGGATCATGAAAATGATTCCAAGAAACACAATTTTTGATCCACAACAAATCTCTTTTCCTCTGTTCAGAAGCTCATGGAAAAAAAAGCCCAATTGATGGTTGTAAATTTTCATAATCAGCCCTTCTGTTTGGGAAGGTCTCTGAAAATACTTTATGGTCTGTTGACACTCAAAACACCTCGAGGAGATGTCAGAATGACAGGAGATGTGCGTTTCGTGCGTAGATGAATTTTCATTATGATTTATGGACTGCAAGAAAGTGAATGTTTTGAAGTTGAGGGGTAAATGGGAGTTGAGAAGTGGGAAAACAGCATAATTTTCTTATGTCCCTCTTTATTAAGTTCTTTATACAAAAGGGAATTGTTGGCTTTATTATTTTAATTAAGGCGAATAATTGAAGTTGTGAGCACACTTGTCTAGAGAGATTTTCTTCTTCTGCTGAAAAAACACCCCTTTTTTCCATGCGAATATCTTGCAGAAGTCGATCGAGATATCTTGGATTGGAGTGGCAAGAAGGCTCTGGACTATCGTCGTCAGAAGACAGCTGTTTCGGCATCGACTTACAGCAGTAAGTATTATCCTGTGTCTCCTACTGCATCCGTTTTCAGCTTCGGCTTCGACGATCCGCCCGATCAGTCGCACTATCGCTCGACTGTGCCTCTGCGAAGGCATCCGCCGAAGGGGCAAAAGGCTCAGAAGTACTTCACCGAAGGCGCTCCAGCGTCTTCCTCCGTCCAGAGGAGTGCTTCTGTGCTGGTGCAGCGCCTTGAGCACCAAGCGCCGGAGGCTGATGGGGACAATATGAGCCTCTTCAGTGCTGATGGCACTGCTGAGAGTGAAATGGGCGGAAGGCGCCGAGGGAAGGTGAACAAGAGCTTCCTGAGGAAGAAGTTTGGGTCTCAGGGAAAGCGGAAGAGAAATTATTAATTAATGAGACGAAGTTGTTAGTCATTCTATTCCATCTTTCAGTATTCCTATTTTGTGAGTTTCATGTAGAATTTAGGGACATGATTTTACTGTAATTCCTCTGCATGTGTGATGATAATAAGAAGAGGCACTTTTTGAGTGAAGAAGTGAATTCACTAACATGATTCTTTTTTTTTTGTATTTAGAGAGGTTGATATGCGGAAGTTTTTTCCCTTGATTAGATGTTGAATTAAAAAGGTGTTCCAAATTTATAAAAATCCTTGTAGAACATTTCCCCCCTGTTTTTTTTTTAGTCATTTGCGTAGATAATTAAATTTGTGGATTTTTTCTTCTCTTTTTCACGCTCATCACAAATTAACATGGAAATTATTTACAAAAAAAAAATCTTTAACTGAAGAAATTCAAGCAAGGCGTTTGCAAGCCTTTTCAACATGGAGGCAAGTGTGAGGAAATATTTTTGGTGTACAGTTTTTTTTTATGCATGTTTGCCTTCTTCCCTTTTGCAATTTTCCCACTATGCTGTCTTTTTATATACTTTTGGCATGATTTGGCCTGAGTTATACTTCTGCCACACTGCCAAACACCTCTTGGGCAGTAATTGCTGAGATGGACAAAGCTTCTTATGCAATGGAATTTAGCATAAAACCACACAATCGAGAGAAGAAAAAGAGTCACTCGACTTTTGTGTGATTGACGAAGAGAAACTGTGTGTGCGCGCGAGAGAAAGGGAGGAAAAGAGGTGAAAAGGAGGTGAAAAACTTTCCATATGGAAGTGCGTTTGCAAGTCTGGTCGAGAGTCATTTAAATAAATAGCAACATGCTACAATTTAATTTCAATTAATGCTCAAAGCAACAATAATTGCGCCTCGAAGTCGTGTAAATATTCTTGTTTTACATTCGTCAGTAATTTAGTGTGGAATTTGAGAGTGTTTTCGACCCCCTCATTTTTATGCCCACCATCCTCAACCTTATCCAACTGTAGAATCTATTGTGCTGAAGAGAGAGAGAGAGAGAAAATAACTTTCCAGACACTCGAAACGTGTGCGTAAAAGGACTGCGATACGCACATGAATATTTTTTTTCGCGATCTCCGATGCACAACTCTGCAATCGTGGCAGTTGCGCCACTATAGCTCAGCTTGTTAACATTCCTAAGTTTTCGTTACCACTCATTCTAATGTATTCGTCGTTAATTTCCCCAAAAGTGCAAAAATTCTTCCGGCAAAAAATTCCACCGTCTCAGAATTTTTGCACTCGCTCAGTTGCAGCTTTCGTGGCATAGTTGATAATCACATGTCTCTGTGACTGTGAAATTCTCTTGATTTTAGGCACTTTATGAAAGAGAAAATCCTTTTACTGTCTGTCTAAAAGACGTTCTTTAACTCAGATTTAGTTTCAATAGATTATGGACGTTGAAACTAACACTCCTTTTCAATAAATTTAGCCTATTTTTCTGTATGTTTTCAAGGTTTTTAAGAACAAATTGATGTAAATTCTTGAACATTCAACTTAACCTTTTATTCTACACTTCATAACAAATCTGTAGGCACAATTTGACCATTTATGTGCCTATACATTGTAAAAAAAATCCTTTTTAACACGTGAAAATTGTTTAAACAATCATGTAAAATGTAAAAATTCTTCTCTGCAGTTTTAAAACTATATTTTACTCGTAAAAATCTGGCAAAAATTCTTCACTGCTCTGAATTTTACACCAAATATTGCTCTCTTATGATATTTGAGCTTGTCAGAATTATAAAAAGCCAAAAATTCTGCCTAGAATGAACTATTTTGTACTGGATTTGACCAACGGAAGGAATGAAAAAATGTAGCAAAACGCTAAACTGAGGCTAAAATCAAAAAATCACAGTCAAATTGTTCGAACGTATAGTTTATTCTACTAAATATTGCTAAATTAAGGGTTTTTTCGCTTTACTTTTATGCATATTTCTCTGTATTATGCGATATTTTGGCCCCTAATTGAGACAGTTTCAAGGTTTCAAAACCAAATAAAAATCAATTTGAAAGGAATACTTTTTACAAAAATAGAATATCTTACTAATTTCTGATAGTGAAAATTGAGATTAGAGAAGAATTATCATTCCAACAAATTAGCCACTCGATTCGGAGCATTTCTAGACTTCTTGCGCCAAGTCTTGCGCCTTCACGGACTTCACACCTCCGCAAGTGGCTTGGATGGTGTATGAGAAGTGTATAAAATGCTGTGTTAAATTGTTGTGAACAAATAGCAGTTGAGGTTGGTGATACGAACATAATTATAATTAGCAGTCTTTCTGCTACTGCTTTTTTCCAAGCCACACTCTTCCAATATGAATTCTTACACTTTTATATGATATTACTCATTGGAACACACTTTTTTCTTTATTCCACTCTCCTATTTATACACTTTACCATAAATACCATAAATAATTAAAATATTGAAATCAGGCGCGCGGGGAGAGATAAATTTTTCAGAGATGGTGAATGATAAAAGGGAGGCATAATAATTGCACCATTCAAATAATAATATAAGTGCATAGCATTAATTGCGTGTCAATTGATCATTTATAAAAAAAATTGTGATGGTAGAGAAAGAAATTGTGGAAAATTCTGGTGAAGCTGTGAGTGCATAAATTGCAATATAACGAGTTTTATTATTTTCACAATTGAAGGATTCTCGCTGATAGTGAGAGATAACGATGATAAATCACGGGGAATTCGAGGAATTCCCAAGGAGATATGCCTTCTTGCCTCTCTTCAAATACCATGCCTACATTAGTGGAAAGAAGTGCTCCTCCTCTTTCTTATAAATGGGCTTTTGATCTCAATTCACTTGCGATGGATTGTAATCTTCTCGTGTATAAAATATTTCCGCAGGCATATTTTATAACATTGTTGCATCAATTCCAATTAGAATAATATAAAAAAGAAGACTTAAGTGGAAAAAGTTATTGAATTGTAGCAAAATTTAAAGCAATTCTGTGTGATTTTCACTTAGGAAATTTCCCTCTCTTTGTTTGATTATCTTGTGTATTCTGGTAAGTAAATGAATTTACCCTTAAATATCGCCCACTGTAAATATCTGCAAAAAAATGTAGTGTTGGTTGGTGAATTGTAGTTTTATAGTTCTGTTGCGTTTTTTTTTGTGGCACAAACTCTGTATAATATCATACATTTTATCTGTTTTGATTATTATTTCATGTCTCTGTGTTTTTATTTTTATATCATTTCGTTCTCTCATTGTGTACAAAATATGACTAATACAAATTGCTCTAATTTACTTTATTAATTGTTCTCTTCTTTTTTTTATTTCTATGCTCACTTGCAGAAATCAAGGCAAAGAAAAAGCACACAGGTGAGTTCAATGTCTCTTTTGACATACAAAGTCAGACACGAAAGGGGAGAAAATTATCTCCTTTTATATTACTTGCGAAAAAAAATATTGTTTAATTCTTCGACATCGAGAGAAGAGGAGGAGGAAAAAATTTACTAGGAAATTAAATTGTCTTCTCTCTAAATCATTTTCACGCGTAGCGCAAATAAGTAGAAAGAAATTTTATTGTTGGGATCTCATCTGCACGTCAATTCACTGAATTTTCTTACTATTACGCTTCTTTTTTTTCTTCCATGCCCACTTCAATTACATGACTTTATAGAATAGAGATGTTATTTTTGTGTAATTCGTGCAGACGTTTAAACATGGAGGCGAAGTTGCTAAACACAAAATAAATGTTCTCTCTCAAAACGCATGAAAATCCAGAAGCGCGCATTGAGAAGAAAGGAAAAAAATGGTAATTCACGTCTTATTTTTCTCTCACTTCTATCGTTTTGCAGAAAGAGAGTCGGGCTTCCTGCGGATTGGTTCCCTGCGCAATTTTCTGGGAGTGGGCAGCAGTCATCATCATGGTACACAGAATCGCAGTCTGATCCGGAGTAGTGTGCCGTCCAATAAGTTCGCCACGTCCGCTGAGCGCTTTGACAAACTCCACAAGAGCTGGGGATCTGCCGACAATCTTCCTCATGTATTTCACTCTACTTTCTCATCAATCTTCAATCCCCCTGAAGCCCACACAATTGACGTCTTTCTCCTTGCAGAATCCCGCAAATATGCCGCCGCCGAAGAATGGCGGCTCTGCGAAGAAGCGTCGCACCAGACGCCATGCTGACTATCCTCCCGTCCTGCCCGGCGGTGGCGTGGTGAGCAGCCAGAGCCAGAGCATGCCTACGACTCCCAATCAGCCCAGGGCGCCCATTCACATCCTCTCAGAACATCCTCAGGGCAGTTCAATGGGCGACTCAGACTCGGACTCGGCGTGTGGATTTGACTCCAACTGGAGTGGCGTCAGACCTACTTATATCTAACTAATTTATTGTACCTTTTAGTGGCATTTTGTTGCATTTACACTTTGCTTACCTTTTATTCGGCAGAGGGATTTTTATCAATAAAAGAATACACGTTTTAACGGTCGCTTTTTCAAATGCATTCCACACTTCCCCCGGTTTGTGACTAACTTCACACTGCGTGATTGCCGACTGTCAAAATAAACAACACGTGCGGATCGAGAGAAGAATACTAGAGTTTTCAGTGGAATTACTAGTGAAAAACAAGTGAAAAATGGGTAAAAACACCAAGAACAAGAAGAAGATGAAGGGTGCTGAGAAGACAAATCTCAAGACTGAGAAGAAAATGTTGATGAAACAGAAGAAAATGCTGGCAAAAATTGGCGAAGTGAGTTTTCTGTTTATACACATTTTCGGCCCTTTTTGTTTAAAGACAACCCTTCCAGGCTGACATTGAGGAGCTCCTGGCCAAGTACAAAGTCGATCCCACGAAGAAAGACACTCCCGCGGTGGAGGTTGACTGTCCAGCGCCATCGCCGCGGGTGAACTTCTCAGTCATCACGCATCCGACCAAGGATCAGCTCATTTTCTACGGCGGAGAGTTCTACGATGGCCAGAAGGCGGAGGTCTTCGACGATCTGTTCTTCTACACCATCGCCAAGGACAGCTGGAGTGTGTTGCGGTGCGGAGAGAAGCCACTGCCGCGATGTGGGCATCAAATGGTGGCCACGGCGACGGATGGCGGGCAGTTGTGGCTGTTCGGTGGCGAGTATTCGAGTCCGTCGCAGCTGCAATTCCATCACTACAGCGATCTGTGGGTTTTCCGTCTCAAGTCCCGCCACTGGGAGCGCATCACAGCCTCCGGAGGACCATCGGCGCGCAGTGGTCACCGGATGATTCTGCTGAAGAAGCGCTTGTTCGTCTTCGGCGGCTTTCACGACAACAATCAGTCGTACAAGTACTTCAACGACGTGCACTTCTTCTCGCTGGAGGACTACAAGTGGAGTCGCGTTGAGGTGGCCGGCGTGGCGCCTCCTCCGCCGCGATCCGGCTGCTGCATGGCCGCCACTGCGAGCGGAACAATCCTCGTCTGGGGCGGCTACAGCAAGGCCAGTGTGAAGAAGGACGCCGACAGAGGAACCACGCACTGGGATTCGCACTCTCTGGTGCCCGACAAGCACGATCCGAAGGGTCTGAGCTGGAAGTGGGTGAGCATCAAGATGGGAGGAATGCGTCCGCCGCCACGCAGCGGCGTGAGCTTCGTCGTAGCGCCAAATGGGCGGCTGTACACATTCGGCGGCGTGATGGACACCGAAGAGGATGAGGAGAGCATCAAGAGTCAATTCACCAGTGAATTGCACTCTTTCGATCCGGAGAATCGCGTGTGGCGGAGAATTGACGTGACTTCTGGGAAGTCCGACAAGGAGATGCAGGACAAAGTGGTGACCACTGTTGGTGCCTTCACTGTGACCAGCTCAAGCAGTTCCCAGGCGCTTGAAGAGCCCGAATCCGGACCGAGTCCTCGAAGTCACTGCGGAATGGCCGTTTGCAAGGGAACTCTCTTCCTCTTCGGCGGGACTTTTGAGGAGGCCAATCGTGATGTCACTCTCGGTGATTTCTACTCGCTGGATCTGCAGAAACCCACGGCCTGGAGGACAATCATTGAGAACAAGTCCAATCAGATGGAGTGGGCAGGATCGGAGAGTGACAGTAACTCGGAGAATGAATCTTCGGGGGATCAAGAATCCTCTGATGAGTCAGATGAAGACAGTGATTCCGATATGGATGTAAATTAATGGAAAAATACAGCATTTCTAAGGGAAACAACGAGTTTTCTCATTTTCCGGCGCGAACATCGCAAGAAAGTCGACATAACCTCAGAATGGGAGAGTGTCCCAGATGTCGATCAATTTGTCCCACAGACGTTACTATGGTGTGTGTCTCTGCTAAAACATAACTTTCAATTCCATCACAGTTATTGTAATCAAATAAGAATTATTTGCCTCATATTCTTGCTTTTACGCAATATTTTGGTGTGTTTAAGTATCAAAACCAAACATTCTAAACATCTGCCAGAAGACAAGCTTATTTTTATGTCATTTTTCACTCCTGTTTTCAAAAAACATGACTTCACTGCATGCTTTGTTGGCTCAAGAATCCCAGCGCACGCTGAGCATTTCGGCCTGTCGGCAGTTGGCGTAGTGACGGAGCAAGTGGGTGCGTCACGGAAAACTGTTTGTTGTGTTTTCTTCATGTTTTCCTGAATTCCTGCCGCACGAGATGATTTATTTACGTGCCTTTCCCTTTTTCGTGATCACCGCATTGATATTCACGCTGAATTGGAGTTCTGTTGCAGGTAAAATGGGTGAAAAGTGAAGTGTTTTGTTTGGCCACCAGTTGCCAAGGGGGAATCAATTTTCCTTCGATATCCTGGCAAATACCTCAAGAGGATTCTTGGGAAACTCATAATTCAATTATTTCCCAGGGATATTTAGCGTTGTGGGTGGTAAATTGGGGCTAAATGAGTCAGAAGAGCGTGATATTGAATCTCCCGGAATGACCGCGCCCATAGATTGTCAAAAGCTTGTCATGCAGTTGCTGAAAATCTCCCCGGAAACCTCTTTTGCAGGCCAATATCACCAATTCTACGATGAGCACAAGACGGAGAAGCTGATCTGGTGCACGACGAGTCGCGAGGAGCAGTACAAGTGCCAGAACTTCACGGTTGCCTTGGAGCGGGATTTCGCCCTGTTCGAAGATGACTTCTTCAACGTCTCCTGCCACCAGGCGTTCGACAAGGACGAGTGCATCCTGCTGATTGACCAGGAGAAGGCCACCATCACCTCCCTGGATCCCGGAGAGGTCTTCCAGGCCGGCCGATACAACTCGCTGGTGCCGATCTTGCAGGAGACTTACGAGGGCGGCTTCAAGAACTACTACGCCGTGGCTGTGATCAAGTCCGGCGCCACGGACATCTACTCCGTGCGGGATTTGCGCGGCAAGAAGGCGTGCTTCGCGGGCGTGGGCAGTCAAGCTGGCTGGACAATTCCCGTCTATCGTCTGCTGAAGGATGGCCTGATGGAGATTGTCGATTGCAACAATCACGTGAAGTCGGCGATTAACTTCTTCGGCAAGTCCTGCGCTGTGAACTCCCTGGTGAACAAGAACAATCCCATCGGCGACAACTCGGACAAACTCTGCAATTTGTGCACTGGCGTCGTGCCGGGCGGCAAATGCACAGCTCAGGATCCGTACGCTGGCTTCGAGGGTGCCTTCAGGTGTCTTCTGGAGGCGGGAGATGTGGCCTTCCTCAAGCACACCACCGTCACTGAGATGATCAACAGCAAGGAGTTCAGTGAGTAGCCCTAAAAGTCCGATTTTCGCTCAAGAAATGGTGTAAAATCTCCTCTTTTCTGTCCTTTGCAGAGAGTGTGTCTGAGAATCAATTCGAATTGCTCTGTCCGGATGGTCAGAAGCGCCCCATGAGTGAGTATCGGCAGTGCAACTGGGGTCTGGTGCCTTCGGACGCTGTTGTGGTGTCTTCAGCGCAGACAAGCATCGTGAGGAAGCGCATTGAAAGGTTTCTGCTGAAGAGTGTTGAGTTGTATTCCACGAAGCCTGTGGGACCGGATCAAACTTCCTCCTTCAATGCTGACCAAGGGAATCCTTATGACTCCGGAAGTCGATACAATAACTACGACAATCCCTACAGTAATGACAGATTTGGGGGATTCGGAGGCGCCGGAGCGGGAAGATATGACTCAAATCGAGCGTACGATCCCAACAGACCTTACGATCCGAACAGAGGATTCGACAGCAATCGCGGAGGCTTCGGGAGTGTGTATGATGATCCCTTCAGGACGACAACAACCACCACAACGACAACCACAAGGCGTCCTTCCTTCGGCTTCTACAACGATCCTTTCGGGAATATGAATCAGAACCAAACCAATCAGGATGAGTACAATCAGACGCAAGTCTATGAGAGATTCGAGCTGTTCGACTCAGAGCGCTACGGCACGAAGTTGAATCTCATGTTCAGTGACACGGCGAGGACATTCGCTGGCATTAAGGAGGAGGATCAGCACTTTGGCGGCTATTTGGGGGACAACATGGAGATCATCATGGGCGTGAGAATGTGTCCGGTGAGCAGAATGTCGCTCTGCATCACATCCGATGCTGAGATGGAAAAGTGCCTGAAGATGCGAACGGCGCTGAAGGCGCAGCTGATCAAACCTGAGATGATTTGCCAGAAAGGACATTCGCACATCCATTGCATGCAATATATCGCGCGAGGAGAGGCGGATGTGGCGGTGTTCGATGTGAGCGATGTGTACACGGCTGGATTGAACTATCAGCTCATTCCCTTCCTCTCGGAAGTCTACAATCTCGGCCAGCCGGAATACTATGTGGTGGCGATTGCCAAGGAGGAGGATCCGGACACTGAGTTGACGTACTTGAAGGGGAAGAATACGTGTCACTCGGGTATCAATACAGCCGCTGGCTGGGTCTATCCCATGGCGTATCTCATCTCCAACGGCTGGATTCGCCCTTACGGCTGCGACAGCATCCGAGCCGCCGCTGAGTACTTCTCCAAATCCTGCGTCCCAGGCGCCATCAGTGCGGAGTACAACACTGGCGTGCCGTACGACAACATGTGCGATCTCTGTCACGGCGTGAGCTACAGATACTGCCGGCGAGACGCCTCTGAGGACTACTATGGCCACACAGGAGCCTTCCGGTGTCTCGTGGAGGGCGGTGGACACGTTGCCTTCGCCAAGCACACGACAGTGAGTGAGAACACGGGTGGGAAGAAGCGCGAATGGTGGGCGAGGAACACGCTGAACGATGACTTCCAGCTGCTCTGTCCGGATGGCACCAGAGGACGTCTCAATGACTACCATCACTGCAATCTGGGCAAGGTGAAGGCCAATGCGGTGGTGACACGAGGCGGTCCGGGCTACAATGAGACACAAATCAATGCCTACATCAATCTCTTCACGTACGCTCAGCAATTCTATGGGAGGAAAGAGCAGGACGCATTCAGGTAAATCACTGAAAAATGCCTCATTGAATTGCCCAATCTAATATCTATTTTCCCCTTTGCAGCTTCAGCATGTTCTACTCTTATCCGCCGTTCCATGACTTGATCTTCCAAGATGCCACGCGGCAATTGACTGTGGTGCCGCCCGAGAATCGCCGCTATGATCGGTATGTTGGGAAGGACTTTATGCGTGCGCGACGCATCACGGACTGCCTGGCAGGTGGGAGTCAAGTGACGATAGATCGCATGCTCATTGCACTCATCACAGCCTTCACGGTTCTCTTTGGGAGGACAATTCTACTAGAGTAGCTGATAGACCAACTATAGTGTAGAGTGAAACAATCAATTTTTGGGTGTAAATATTACAAATTGTATTTGCAGCGGAAGATTAAGCGATGATCTAGAAGAGCTGCAAGAAAGCGAGAAAGTTAAAATTAAGGAATATCATTCCGTCCGGAAGATTCCGTCCATTTTTACCGAACTTTTTATATAATCCAGAATCTCATTTTTATACGCACACGCGCCATTTTAGAGAGCAATAATGTGTAAAAGAAGAGATGTGTTTTTTTTAAATGTGACAAAGTAGTTGAGGATAATTTTAGGGAAGAAAAACCCACGTGTCTGTTGAAAAGTCAATAAAGAAATTACTTTTCCTTCTGAGAAGATGTTTTCAAATGTCTCTCATTTTCCCGCACAAACTTATCGACATGTGCGTGCGCAACTGGCCGACAGAGAGACACCGAAGAGAGGGGGAAATGTCAGCGGACGTCAGCAGACGGGAGCGCCACTCCTCCCATTTGTCATCCAACAGCGTGGCGAGAACGTCGCCAGTGGATTTGCTGCTGTGGGCTTTTTCGTGGAAATTCAGTGTGAAAATTAGTGTTGGAATCGTGCGTGAAGATGTCAGTGAACCTGCGGACGGTGTATGCATTCGCCAGGGAGATGTACCCCAAGAAGGTGAAGGGGGACATTCAGTACGGCACGGCGGGATTCCGGACAAAGTAAGTGTGCTGATGGCCTTCGGGGCGGTTTCCCACCCTCTCAATTTCCCACCTCATCCGAATGCCACCGCCTCGGTGAGCAACACAACTTCCCTGTCCATTTCGCCAGCCCATTGTCTCTCGCGTCTCGCGGCCGAGAAAGTGAAGGTGAACTGGGCGAGAGAGACAGCGAAAATCCTCTCTCTCTCCGCGGCTTATCTGCGTGACACCTTTTGCTATCGCGCCAACCTCAGCTCGAGGGGCCCCGCCGGGCGTCCCGGAGAAGTGTCCGCAATTGCTCTAAACGACACCTCTTCCGGTCAATTACCGCACACTCGCTTCCTGACCCGATTTCTGGCATTCGTGGCTTTTCCTCAAAGGTCGCGCGAAGAGGATCATTTGAGAGCGCGATTTTGTCTGCCTTTTGGAAGACTTCTCAAGATGACTCAGTGATGCGCTCAATAAATTTTCCGCTACATTTTGCCTCGTCGTGGGGGTAATTTTATGAGATGGAAAATCAGTGAAGCAGTCTAATGGATCTCCTCCAATTGTCCCACGAGAGCCGCGCAGTCACTGATCTCCGCCGGCATGCGGGCGAGACGAATGCAGCGGCCCAGGAGCGAATGCCCGGCGCAGAATCTATGACTGATAGGCCTAGTTAGACATGGAGACATTCCCTGGAAATATTCACCATTTCCTAGCTAAATATAAAAGAGCCACGCAGGCTGACTCACTCGCCGAGGGAGTTGCGAAAATCATAGATTCAGATTAGAGATGGATTATGGATTAATCATGGCGAAATTCATGCTTAACTTTTATCGAATCAATTACTATACTTCGGCTTCGAAGCTTCATTTAGCACTATTTTAGAAGAGTTGCAAAGCCACGATTTAACACAGATATTTTCACACATGGAAGTTCTTCAAAGGCTCCGCCCACTCGAATGCTCCGCCCAAAAGCGTGTATTTTTCTTAAAATTCGAATATTTCGGGGAATATATTATGATTAAACAGACTATCAAATAAGCACAGGACTTTCTTTTTTATAATACCAAACAATAACAGTTTAATTTCGCGTTTTTCACTCGTCAAATCGAACTTATCGAAACGCATTAATGAAATTTCCCTTTTTGGTGAAATTTTTCCAAACACTTTCGCAGTTTTATCAGTGCGACTGAATGTTTTATCTTCATTGTCGCGTCTGCTATCTCCTCCACCTGTTTTTCCATCTTCAATCACTCACTCGTGCGCCGTTCAACTCTGGCCACAAGACGCTTGTCGCGCGCCACAGAATATCCACGCACGAGCATAAATATAAACTCCGTGGGCCAATGTGGCGAGGAAGGAGCCCGTGGGGGTGACGAGAGTGCTCCAAAGGTGTTGCTGAGGGGGACAATGACACATTCACGACAAATTCCACGCGACTCCCGGATTTATTTTTACTGCCAAACTGCTCTAAAAAGCGAAGCATTCAGCCTGTGGGCGATCCTCTCTAGACGCTCTGCCAGCGGGAATTCACTGGTGAGAGACTGTCTGACCCTTCGCCATCTGATTCTCCGTCACGATCAGTATGGATTGGAGCAGTGGAAGAGGTCAAATGGAGAATGTAAAAATAGTCACAGGGTCAGTAACCACATTGTGAGCCAAATTTTTATATCTATCATGCTCTCTTCCGTGCGCTCGACAAGAGCATTTTTATTGTAGCCATTCAACCCTTTTTTTATTTTATTATATTGATCGAACGCAGGCGGAAGAAAATGAATTGAGCGGTTAGTTGGCAAAATTCTGCTGCCTTGAGATTGAGAGTCATTAGAAGAATATCACATTTTCCCAGGAAAGTGTGATAATTGAGATGTGGTGCTTTAAGAATCCCTCTGTTTTTCTGTGGTTTTTTCTCTCTATCTCAGTCAATAAAAGTGGTTTTTTGTTTTTCTTGAAAACACATTAATTTTTTTTTCTTAAGCCCTGAAATCCCTGAAAATCATCAATAATTCCACTAAATGATCATATTTTGAAAATTCCCTTCAAAGGAAGTGAGAATCTTCAACTGTGAATGCAGGAAATTAAGTTAGACAAAAAAAAGATTGTGTGGAAAAAAAAGAGACTCGGATTTTAAAAATAGTCAAAAATTCTCCAAATTCCACCGGTTTTCATGCAGAGAAAAACTTCAAAAAGTCTCTCACAGAAATTTATTTACACACTCGCCTCTTGGATACGGCCAATGTCGAGGAAATTCAATAAATAAAGCGATTAAATTCCCATCAGAATTTGCAGTGCCTCACAAAGCTGAAGTGGATTTGTTTTTACTATTGAAGTTGTAATTGTAATAATAACACACAACTGTGCTGCAGCTCCAAACACGTGTTGGCGCTGATCGTGTGAATGGTTTGTGATCTCCCCATTGACGCTCAATAATGCGGTTAATTTGGGATATTATATTACGACGATTGGCAGAGATGAAAGGGAAATTCGATTCGTGTGCTTATATTGTGAGTGTAAATATTGGAAGTGGTGAAAAAAGCTCACATTTTCACGCTACCTTCCTTTTTTCGAGATGGAATTCCTGAAATAGCCCAGCATTGTCACTCTCTTTGCTGAATCAATAGTCGACCATTGATTGGCAGATGTTGGGGAAGAAGATTTGCTGCCATTGCAAATAATTGAGCCGATTACTTATGTGGTAAAATAATGTGCAATCAATTACTCAATATTTAATTGAGTTTAATAATTAAATGCATCTTTATGTAATTGAGTGTAATTGCTATTGAAGGTATTGATGTTGATTATCGCATGGAGAAACCCTGTAAGTTGTTCGAGATGTAATTGAGATTGAAGAATTCTCTCTAATCTATCAATTTATTATAGCTTCTGGGGTTTCTTTGTTCTCTTTAATCAGAACTCTAGAAAGATATTCTGATTTGCGCTGCAAATATGCAATTTATCAGTTTAAACACTCTTTTGAAAATACTCTGATATTTTGTAGAATAATGAGTCGTTACAACTTTACGGATTTCGTATTTCCATTCGTAAAAGCTACTAATTTTGGTGTTGCAAACTTTATACTCTTCATAGCTTATATTGGCGGCCGTCCGGCGGCGCTAGTGTGAAGAAGGAATGAAGTACGAACGAGAAAGCAATACAAGGCGAAGTTGAGAGTTTATTTAATATGAATTTCAGCTGTCAAAAAGTTATTTAATTGCCAGACAAGACATCATCATTCGTGCGTGTCACGATATGTTCGCGTGAGCAATAAATGGAATAAAAACATAGCTTTTTATGCACTTGAAAATGTTTTAAGAAACCAATTAATTTCACTGGAAAGAATCAAAGGATGCTCAGAAACACATAACCTCAATTTGGTGCGTTGAAATGCGCACAAATGGCCAGAAAAATCCAATAAATTTGTGTTTATCTACATAAAAACATCATAATTGTCTATTTCTTTGGTTTTCACGTGCATTTTCCGACCTTTCTTGATTAAATGCTACAAAAATATGAATTGACATCAAATGTTGTATGTAAATATTATGAATCATAATCTTACAACACCTTTTTACGAATTGATATCTTTGACAGCTTATTTAAAATGTTATAAACGTAATGTTGCAACGACGCCTAATTCTATTTTATAAAGGAAGTGAGATCAGACACAGAAAGCACATCCAAAGTCGTTTATATTATGATTATTTTATTAATTTTCCTGTTTCAAAATAGCTCAATTACGGGAAGAATGTCAAGAAGAGTTCTAGAAAATATCTCTTAATATCGCTGCACCTGCTGATATCATCAAAACCTTGAATATGACTGAAGATCAGACACAGTCAGATTCACAGTCAGTAATTGAATTATTTCTGATAGAAATCTTCACTCAAAGAGAGACACTCTTTCATCTCACACAAACACTTTCCTTCCGAATTCACGCGACTGTCTGCAATTGCTCAAGGTGATTCCTTGATGAAATCACTTCCTGATCTGGTTTTCATATCTAAAGAGCTGCGTGGAGAAAGAATGTCGAGTGGAATTGACTCTTTTCTCTCTTGATGGTTTGTCTTGTATTTATAGAGCCGAAAATTTGGATTATGTAATGTACCGGATGGGATTGCTGGCAACGCTGCGATCGCGATTGAAGAACGGCGCCGTGATTGGTGTGATGATAACGGCGTCGCACAATCCTGAGCCGGACAATGGTGTGAAGCTGGTGGATCCGATGGGGGAGATGCTGGAGGCGCGATGGGAGAAGTTGGCCACGCGACTGGTGAATGTGAGCGATCAGGAGTTGGAGAGTGAAATTGCGGCGGTGATTCGCGAGGAGAACGTCTGCATCTCGGCTCCGTCCACGGTGTTCGTGGGCATGGATAATCGCTACCACAGTCCGAGGCTGCTGAAGGCCGTGTGCGATGGCGTGGTGGCGCTCAAGGGGGGCGTGAAGGAGTTCGGCATCCTCACGACGCCCATGCTGCACTATCTCGTGGTGGCGGCCAACACGAAGACGCGCTACGGCATGCCGACGGAGGAAGGATACTACAAGAAGCTGATCACGGCCTTCCAGAACGTCCGCGGCACGACCACCACGCGCGCCAACTACACAAACCGCGTGTACTTTGACGGCGCCAACGGCGTGGGGGCGCGAAAGATGCTTCAGTTCCTCAAGCGCATGGATCGCGGCCTGGATGTTGTGGTGTTCAACAGCGGCGAGGGGAAGATTAATCACGAGGTGAGTGAAATGATCCACAAGCGACTTATCGAATCGCTCTTTCATTTTTTGTGTCTGCGCGCGTGATTGCTGAAAGCCACTAATGAGGGGAAAGGAAAAATTAGGAATTTGTGCACGAAATTGGATTGTTAGTCATTCGCACCACAACGCCTTTTAAGCAAACAGAAAGAACACAAATGTGCTTCAGGTGACGTTTTTCTTTAGTCGGAATTTTGTTGTGATTCATCAGAATTTCTCTCCATTAGAATTCAATTTTTCATAACCTTTACGTGTGATTCGAAACACCTTCCAAATTCAAGGCTCTTCCAATGAAATCTATATATTGGCAATTTTGTTTTAATTGATTGCCGTGTGATAGTGGGTGAAATGGGTGAAATATGTAAGCAAAATGGGCATGACTTTGAAAAGGAAGAGCAAAACTTTCTGCATAATCAATTCTCACGGATGGAAATTTCCTGTGGGCGGAGAAAATCTCCCGCCCAGGGGATGTAATTGAAAACTCACCCTCTTTCAACATTGTCTGTGTGTCTCTGTCTTTGCAGTGCGGCGCCGACTATGTGAAGGTTCAGCAGAGGGCGCCGGCGGGAATGCCCGAAGTGGAGGCGAACGCGCGCTGTGTCTCTGTGGACGGAGACGCGGATCGCGTGGTGTACTTCTTCACGGATGAGAACAACTGCTTCCACCTGCTGGATGGGGATCGCATCGCCACGCTGGTGGCGGATTATCTCATGGAGTTGGTGCGCGAGTGCAATGTGAACCTGCGAATGGGATTGGTGCAGACGGCGTACGCCAATGGCGCCTCCACGGACTACATTGAGCATCAGCTGCGCGTGCCCGTGGCGTGCGTGCCCACGGGCGTGAAGCATCTCCACCACAAGGCGATGGAGTTCGACATTGGGGTGTACTTCGAGGCCAATGGCCATGGGACGGTGATCTTCAGCCAGAATGCCAAGGATATGATCAAGAAGACCGCTGAGGATGACAAGTAAGTCAGGATTTCTCATCTATTAAATCAGAGATTTTGGAGATTTTACTGGATTTCATTCCTCATTTTTTCAGCGTGAACGAAGAGCAGCGAAATGCAGCAAAGACATTCTTGCAAATAATTGATCTCATCAATGAGACAGTGGGCGATGCCATCTCTGACATGCTCCTCGTGGAGACAGTGCTGCTGGCCAGGGGATGGAATCTGCGCGACTGGGCCAACACGTACACAGATCTGCCGAATCTGCAGCTGAAAGTCTCCGTGGCGGATCGCAATGTGATCACCACGACTGACGCTGAGCGCGTGTGCGTGACTCCCGAAGGTCTGCAGGAGGAGATCAATGCTCTCGTGGCCAAATACCCACGCGCCAGGGCTTTTGTGCGTCCCTCGGGCACTGAGGATGTGGTCAGGGTGTACGCCGAGGCGGAGAATAAGGAGGACACAGCTGTTCTGGCCCATGAAGTGGCTTCGGCTGTGCACAGACTCGCCGGCGGCGTTGGCAGTCCGCCGGAATTGCCCAGGCAGTTCGTCAACTCACACTATTAAGGCTCTCTGGATGGCAGATGCGCTTCAATGTGGGTCCAAAAAGCAGAGATTTATTCTACCCTCATCACGAGCAATCATTGGTATTTTCCAGTGGCCGATCAATCATACAATTTATCCCGCGCCGGCCACTGACTTGTGATCCCAACAACTGCCATCTACCACACACTTCTTGGCTCACACGGCCGTAGTTATGGAAGAAGGAAAGAGAAAAGGGGGAAATGTTGATAGAAAGCATCTACTTTAGGTAAATTGTTGAAGATTATTTGCCAATTGCTTGCATTTTATCACCTCAAGAGGTTTTATACTGTTTATGACATTGATTACCAAACCTAATCGGACCCAATATTTATCATTTTTTTATGTTGATTGATTATTTTAATGTTCTTTCTAACCCTTTCGCAATATTTAAGGTATATAAAGTGAAATTCAAAAGAAAATTGTGCAACATTCCCGAAAGACGAGTAATTTTAGGCACATTTCAACTCATAATAATTTACATGGAATATGTTTTTTTTTCTATAAATGGAACTTCATGAAGGAATTTATAAAGTTGGATCTTAATAAATTATTAATAGAGAGTGATCCTCTAAAAACCACCAATTTTATTATTTAGAATAAGAATACCAAAGCATGCTGAATATTTACAATTTCGATCCCTTCATGAATGGCTTGAGGTACTTGTGGAAAGTGGCGTTGACGGGTTCCTGGTTCAGCGGACTCTTCATGGCGTCTTCGTAGATGTGCTCGTAAACGTTTCCGTCGAAGGCGCCCAGCGCCGAGCGCAGAACTTCGTCCGGGAAGTCGAATCCGTCCACGAGCGCCACGGCGTTGGGCCGCAGGCGACTCAGGACGCCCTCCAGGCGCTTCTGCAGCTGCTCCACGTTCGCCTCGGAGATCGTGGTGAAGCGCAGGAGATCCCCGAGCGCCTTCTGGGCCGCGTCCACGGCGTACAGCTCCAGCAGATCGCGCAGCACAGACGCCAGCGCCGGCGAGACTTTGCCGCTGATCTTCTGCATGGCTTCGTGGCCGGCGCGCAGGATGAAGGCTCGACAGTGAGCATCGGCCGCGGCCACGAGTTCGATGGAGGATTCATTGGACGCCTGGCCAGACTTCTTCCCTTCTCCCAGGCGACGATCAATGCTCTGGGCGGCGGAGCGGATTTTAGCCGCTGCCACAGCTTCAAAAGCCTCAACAATCCCTCCAATGCTTCCGTCCCATTTAGTCCGGATGGAGCGATCAGGGAAGCGTCTCAGATACCCCACAGTAGGCGACATGTCGGGATTCTTGGCCGCCTTCATGAGGAATCGCGCTGTCTGGAGCAGAAGAACTGTGTTCTCTCCCTCGTAAGTGTAAGCGGCTGTGACGAGGCCGAAAAGCATGGGAAAGCCTGAACTCTCGAGGTATCCGTGACCACCGCAGGCCAGGCGGCAAGTCTCAACTCCAGCCACGGCGTCAGTCGTTGTGATCGCTTTCAGGGCACAAGAGAGAGCGTGAAGCTCCGGCAAGCGCTCAATTTTCCCTCGTTCCAGCTCACTGATCACGGAATTGTACGTGTCGATGATAAAGTCTGCTGATAGCTTGAAGATGACACTCTTGGCGATTTGCGGGAAGACTTTCCTCTGCTGCGTCACATGATCCAGAATCTGGGGTTCAGGTTCACTGGGGAAAGAGCAGAAAAATGTCAGGCAAATTTCTTGTCATCAGAATGCTTGTGACTTACTCAGGATCGATGGGACTCTGGCGTCTCACTGCTGAGTATCTCGTGGCAATTGTCGCTGCCTGGGCCAGACGATTGCTCATGTCTCGCACAATCATCACCCTCACGAAGACCATCGTGCCGTAAGTCAGCACGCTCACGGGCGCCTTCACGAACGTTCCATCCTCCAGCACCTGCGCATTCTTCATCAGCATATTTTCCCGCGGAATGCGGTGATTGGTGAAGCCCAGGAATCCATTGTTCGTGCTCTTGAGGCCCATTTTCGCCCCAATGTCGCCCACTTTCACCCCCGGCAGTGGCATGTGTGAGTCTTCATCGCGAATCTGGACGATGAATGGGAAGATTCCCTTACTCTGGCCACGAATGATGAGCTGAGCCATCACGATAGCATAATTTGCCGTGTGTCCCACTGGAAATTATTGCGTTAATGCGCTTCTTATTTGAACAGAAATCTTATCTCAGAGCTCACAGAGTTATCTCACGAGCCACAGATACTCACATCCTCCTGGCCACCACTTGAAGGAAGTCAGTGTGGGACTGTTGATGACGAATTCCCTGGTCTTCTCGTCGTAAGTCGCTGTGGTTTCCAGTCCGCGAATGAAAGTTCCGTGACCCAATTCAGTTTGGGCATAAGTGCCAATGAACTCGCATCTCAGGGCGCGGCGGAGCCACTTTTCCTGCTGCTCAGGCGTCGCCTGGCCCAGGATCGTGGGGATGAACATGGAGAAGTGCAATCCAATGGGACTCGTTGGTCCAATTGCGCCGGCGGCGCGCAATTTGAGTATCAACTGATGATGACTCAACTCTTCGGGACCAGTTTGTCGCAGTTCCTTGATCTGAGACAGGGTCAGAGTGCCCTGTCTCACCATCTCCTCATACAACTCCTTGTGCGAAAGGTAGGAGAGAGGAATCTTCGACTGCTGCTCCGGCTTCTTGAAGTACATCTCCTCTGGAAGGCAAATTGATCAGCACAATTCTCAATCTGAGCCACAATCTCACCATTTCGTCTCTTCTCCGCCACCTTATCAGCTCCTCCATGCCACCAGGCGGTGAATTCTCCCGAATTGAAGCACGCAATGCTCCTCTCTCGCGCCAAATCCTTGTTCACCTTCCTTCCCATCGTTCTGCTTGTCTTTCCGTCACTCTTTCTCCAGCACCAATTGACAAGTGTGAGATGGAAAATTGCCGAGTAACTCACGTATGTTCCATTTAAACAACCTTTGAGACGATCTTTTATCAGCCTCTTGGCTTCGAACTGACAACTCTACGATAAAGACTCACTCGAATCAACTTTATTCCCCACTCTATATGGCTGTTGTGTATTTACGAATAACATTCGTCGCGATCGGAGAAAGTCGCTCTTGTGTAAGTGAGCAAAGTCAAGATTACTCAAGAAATACCAGCAAGAATACCAGCGTGGTTCGCATGACTAAAGAAATCCAGCACTTCTGGGATTATTTAAAATTTACCCGTCCTTGAATAAAAAATTCCCTCACCATTCACAGAATATTACAATACAATCATTCAACAAAAGATTAAAGCTTAGATTTGCCCGCCTTCATGAATGGCTTGAGGTACTTGTGGAAAGTGGCGTTGACGGGTTCCTGGTTCAGCGGACTCTTCATGGCGTCTTCGTAGATGTGTTCGTAAACGTTCCCGTCGAAGGCGCCCAGCGCCGAGCGCAAAACCTCGTCCGGGAAGTCGAATCCGTCCACGAGCGCCACGGCGTTGGGCCGCAGGCGACTCAGGACGCCCTCCAGGCGCTTCTGCAGCTGCTCCACGTTCGCCTCGGAGATCGTGGTGAAGCGCAGGAGATCCCCGAGCGCCTTCTGGGCCGCGTCCACGGCGTACAGCTCCAGCAGATCGCGCAGCACAGACGCCAGCGCCGGCGACACTTTGCCGCTGATCTTCTGCATGGCTTCGTGGCCGGCGCGCAGGATGAAGGCTCGACAGTGAGCATCGGCGGCGGCCACGAGTTCGATGGAGGATTCATTGGACGCCTGGCCAGACTTCTTCCCTTCTCCCAAGCGACGATCAATGCTCTGAGCTGCAGTGCGGATTTTAGCCGCTGCCACAGCTTCAAAAGCCTCAACAATCCCTCCAATGCTTCCGTCCCAAGTGGCCAGGAATGAACGATCAGGGAAGCGCTTGAGATACTCCACAGTAGCTGACATGTCGGGATTCTTGGCGGCCTTCATGAGGAATCGCGCTGTCTGGAGCAGAAGAATCACGTGTTCGCCCTCATAAGTTGCTGCTGCCGTGGTGTATCCGTAGAGCGTGGGAAAGCCTGAACACTGAAGATATCCATGACCGCCACAGGACAGACGGCAAATCTCGATTCCCTGGGAAGTCTCTTGTGATATGAGGGCCTTCAGGCAGCAAGATAATGCGTGAAGATCAGCCAAACTATCGAACTTCCCCGTGTCGAGATCCTGCAAGACTTGCTGGTACATTTCCAGGAGTGCCTTGGCGCTCATCTTGAAGATGACACTCTTGGCGATTTGTGGGAAGATTTTGTATTGCTGCGTCACATGATCGATGATCTGTGGTTCCTTCTCGCTGGGATCAATGGGACTCTGTCGCCTCACTGCTGAATATCTCGTGGCAATTGTCGCCGCCTTGGCGAGATTGTTGGACGCGTCCTCGACAATCAGCACTCTCACGTACACCATCGTGCCGTAAGTCAGCACAGACATGGGTGACTTGACGAAGGTTCCATCCTCCAGCACCTGCGCATTCTTCATCAGCATGTTGCCGCGTGGAATGCGGACATTCTTGAATGCCAGGAAGCCCTGATTGACACAGTTCATGCCCAGTTTGGGTCCAATTTCACCCACAATCACACCCGGAAGTGGCATGTGCGTATCTTCATCACGCAGCTGGACAATGAACGACTGAACTCCGTGACATTTGCCCTGGGTGTACAGCTGGGCGATGACTACGGCATAATTACCCGTGAGTCCCACTGACAAAGAGAGACACACAAAGCATTAGGAGCAAGAAATAATGGGCAAATTATCCGGCTGACTCACTTCCTCCTGGCCAGAACTTGTACGCCGCCAGAGAGGGTGTGTTCAGGACAAACTCCCTCGTCTGCGGATCATAATCCGCCCTGGTTCCGATGCCCCGAACAAAGGTTCCATGACCCAATTCCGTCTGGGCATAAGTCCCGATTATATTGCAATTGGCCGCCTTCTCTGCCCACTTCTCCTGCTGCTCGGGCGTTCCCTGGCCCAGGATTGTGGGCACAAACATGGACAGGTGCGTTGTCACGGGCGACAGAGGAGAAGTCACTTCAGATTCCACCATCAAGAGCATATTATCGCTGTTTTGGGAGAGGAAAAACGGGGCGAGAGATTAGATTAACCTGTCCGTGCCAAAGGTCACAGTTTTCATATTTTTCATACTAAAAGTTTCCATTTCCGTAGCGTCCGGAGGCCAGCAAATCCCTGTACTTCTGGAATCTGTGCACCGTGCGCTCCACGCCTCGCTCGTACAGCTCCTTGTGGCTGAGATAGCTGTCCGGGACGGTGAACTTCTCCTCATAGCCATCGCGAAGGTAGTAATTCTCTGCAAGGAAGCCCCCAATTAGTCTCCAGACTCAAACATCTGCCCGATTCTCACCTCTCCAGCGCTTCTCGCGCAACTTGTCATTGCCTCCGTTCCAGTACACGGCGAACTCCTCAGAGTTTATGCCCGCGCCTCGTCGCTCGTACGCCAGGTCAGGATTCACCTTCATTCTGAGCACAGTTCCGCGCGATCACTTCTAGACTTTCCGGCAAGTCATAGAAAACTGCGAAAGTCCGCGACAAGAGCAAATTATCTAATTGATAGCGAGTCAGTGCGCTTTCTCCCTCCACTCAAAACGACTCCACAAACGCCACAAATATACCAAAAGAGCAAAAAGACCAAAGCGAAGTGATTAAGCTTAGTGCTTAAAGTGTTTGCAAACTTCTTGTGAACTTCTTGTCTTCAACACGATCAAATTGGTCAAAACATCGCGAATTTGGCGCAATTTATTAACAGAGTAGGCAGAGTATATAGAAATCTTGCAAAGCACGTTAAAAAATGCCCGAAATGCCCTTAAATCACTGCTCTAAAGAAACTAAACCACTTTTCTTCTCCACCTTATTTCCCGCGTGTTTTACGATCTTTTTTTTTAATTACACCTGAGAAATAATAGCGCTATAAATGTGCCAATGAAGAGAGTCTGAAAAGATTAGTGGATTTCACAAAGTGGTTTTGTAAAATCGCGCTCAGAAATTGCCCGAAAATATCCCGTGAAATTTCCCAAATAGATGACATGTCATCATCATCACCGGCTAGTGACTTTATCGGCCAACTTTCTACACCATTCTCTTTTTAGTTGCCTTTTAGTTTGTTCCGTGTGTGTTATCAAGGATGTCTCTGCAGTGGGAAGTTGTGGGCAAGTCGAAGAAGTCCCAGAGCAAGGGTAAGAGCGCCCAGGTGAAGGAAATCCTCGGGGAAACGGTGAAAACTCCGTCGATTCGCAAGGTTGAAGAGAGTGAGTATTGGGATTGTGCGCTGCTGTCCAAGATTCTCAGGGTTTGAGGGCTTTCTGTGTGCATTCCAGACAAGAAGGGGAATCGCAAGGACAACAAGGAGAATCGCAAAGTCACCCAGGAATCCGCCAAGAAGCCACAACAGGCAAAAATCACCGCCAATGCGGAGAAGGAGAAGAAGCCCGTGAAGAAGAAATTCAAGAATCTCGAGGCTGCGCTCCAGGAATTCTCCGTGGATGACCTGAAGTCTCATCTGGAGGTTCTGAAGCTGAACTTCAAAAACAGCAACATTGTGTGGCTGAAGGCAGTTGAGTGACAGAAAAAGGGTGAGTTTCCCAACACAATTGCTGACGTCGAAACTTTCTCTCCGTCCAGATACTTTCGTACCTCAATGAGTCCCTGAATGTCGACGTGGACGCTCTGTTTCTCTGCAAGCCAGTGCTCTATCCGGCCAATGTGCTGCCCGAGACACTCAAGAGACTCATCCATGCTGAGCTGGAGAGTGCTGGACCGTCCAATGTGCAGTACTTCTTCGATCAGTCGCTCACTGCCCTCGCGGTGGATCTCAACAAGAACCTTCCCGTGGTGGGAACGAAGATAATGCTGCAGCTGATCGCTCTGCGCTATCCTGTCGTGTGCCAGAGCAACTTCGCCAAGAACGCAGTCCTCCACAACTCGTACCTCAACCAGAGCCCCATCGGATTGAGTCTGCTGTGGGCGCTGGGCCAGGGCGGCTTCCAGGATGTCCAGGTGGGCATCAATGTGTGGCAAAATATGATGGTGCCTGTGATTGAGATGAAGCACTACTCCAAATACGTGGTGGACTACATCTTCCGGATCCTCCAGAAAGCTCCTGAGAACACCTCGTGAGTTCCCAGCGAGAATTCCCCCCTGGAAAATGCCTCTTAACAGTCAGATTTCCCTCTCTTTTCAGTCTGAAATTAACTCTGCAAGAGTATCTAAATCTCATGGAGACTCTCGTGAAGCCCCGCAATTCACTTCATCCCAACTATCGGAATCTTCTACCTGAAAGTGCCTTTATGATATCTGTACGAAATCACCCAAAACCTCTTTAATATCACATCTTGAGCTTCATTTCTCTCTTCCAGAAACTCTATATTGAGAGCACTAAGAACGTTTCGAATATTTTCCTGACGCTCTTCAAGAATCTGTCCAGTGATTCGCCCAGTGTCTACAGCTTTGCTCTCGTGCAGTGTCTCAAGACTGAGCCAAGTTGCGTGAAACTGTGGGAATTGAACCACAAGAAACTCCATCAGCAGCACGCAATCCTCCTGAACTACATTCGTAAGTCAATTCTATCACTTTCTATACTGCAATTCCTCTCAAACACTGTGATTCCCTTCCAGGAGAATCCAAACAAGGAAGCAGCTTGCGTGGAAACAAACCTCTGAACGACTTCCTGCGGACCATTGACACGAATCTGGTGAGAGAAGAGGAGAATCCAGTGAAGAATCGACACCAGGCAAATGCCAAGGGGAAACAACAAGTGAGTATAACGAATGAAATTGAAATTCAAACAAGCATTCCACAAATCGAGGGGTCAATCACTTATGAATTCATTTTATCCGCAAATGAAGCAATGCGGTCAATGATGATTTTCTTATTCATAATTTAGAGTTAGAGAAATCCGAGCTGAAATTAGCAATTCATTTTGAAAAGATTGAATTGCATATTTCAGAGCAAAATACAGTTTTTGTGATATATGACGTGTACAACTTAAATAAGAAGTGACATTCTATAAGCCACGCCCACTCAAATGCTCCGCCCAAGGGAATTTTCGCTGTATTTTTGAATGAAATTTGGAATGAATCGAAAGAAACAGTGACTATGCAACAAATAAGAGTTTTATAATCTTAAAAAGGATAACTTACTTACTTACTTAGAAGGGAATTAACGTCCCATTGGGGGACACAGCTTTTTCCATTAAAGAAGATATCAAGACAATTCTTTGTGTTACGGTAGCTGATTGTCAGTTTTCCGATCAACCATAAGTGATTCTAACGCCCACATTTATATATAAAGCAAGACAATTCCAGTGAAGCATATGTTTCAGCTGGAACATTCAACAGCAATCATAGCGCCTACTCTAATTTATCATTCAAAGGCTTAATCTTTGTACTCTTCTGTGTTCGAATATTTGCAAGAAGTGAAATTCTATAAGCCACGCCCACTCAAATGCTCCGCCCAAAGGGAAATTCAATGAATCTAAAAAATCAATCACTACGCAAAGGCAGCAAACAAGAGATTTACAATTGTTAAAAGTATAAATGATATACAAATTTACAGATACGATATTGAGTGATTCAACTGCCGCTCTCTCCTATTCGTTTCCCTTCCACTCTCTCTTCCAATTGCGCCTCTGTTGGCCTCAACGCCCAATTCGGTCCACATTCGCCTTCCCATTGCTGCCACACACGCACTGGAATCGCCGTGGAAGACTCCATGACAGCGTGGCTGTCATGAAATAGTGGGCATCAGAGATTCATTCGTGCTAGAGCGTGTGTGTAGTGAGAGAAATATTGATCGGTTTTTGCTTAAAACTTTTTTTTGTTATTGACTACACTTGTACTTCTAATTGAAGTTACTAATTATTTGCTAAGAATTTACATTAGTAAGTTACGTTTGTGGCTTTCCGGAGGATATTTTCTTTCTTGCATTGTTGAAAATTTCTCCAGACATTGTGTGTGTGGATTTGCAGTGATTTAAAACACCACCTCTTTTCGCTCACTCGCATATTTCAGCACTTTGCAGAGACTGCGGAAAAAAGTGCTTTGCATGGAGCATTTTCTAACAGATCAATTGAGAGTGATTTTTTCCAAGGAAAATCATTAGACGCAAAATGCGGTCTGAGATTTTTACACGACGCAAAAAAGCGTCACTCCAGTACGATGATTTTTTGTCTCTGTGTGTGCAATGGGGGCCCCTTTTCTTCTGTCAAACCGGACAATTTTTTTTCCCAGAGAGAGAGAGAGAGCGAGAGAGAGAGAAATGCGTGGCGATTGACACGTTTTATGGGAATCACACAATTACACAAAATTTTCCCCCCATCGAACGTCCCCCAAAAAATGCAATCGTGTGTGTAGAAAGTCGTATTATTGAGGAGTTGGGAAAAAACTTTCTACTTATACAATTATAAAGTGTAGAAAAAATACAGAAAAAATCACAATTTTAGCGTGAAAAGAAGGGTCAAAGCGAGAGTTTTTCGCCTGTCTCACTCTCACGGTCGAAAGAAATTCCAACAAATGTTGCACACCTTTCATTCCCAATGTCAAGGCTGTGGGCAATAAAACACAAGGAGATTAATTAGCCATTCGGCTTAAGTTGAGAAATCTTATCAGTTCAATAAACTGCGGCATTACTTAATAACTCGCCGAGCATCTTTGGCGTGGCGATCGAGCGCGGTCGCACTTTCATATGCGGGGAAAATCGTACCTCCGATGCTACTATCGGGAACGCTCTCACTCTCAATGCTCCTTGACCTTTGATGTTTCCCCCAAATGCGCTCCTTATCAGTGGCAGCGAGTGAGACAGACTGTGGCGAGCAGTGAAAATTAATCACTGCTAAATTGACGATTGTGCTCCCCTCGATCAACGTGGACACTTTTGATTTGTTGGCCCAGAAAAGTCGGCAGAAAGTGACGATTTCGTCCCGAAAACCAACTTGATTAATCACTTTGCACCCTGAAAATGCTTTATCTGCGAACAATTGAAACATTAACCCCTTGATTTTTGAACAAATCGTCCGCACATAGTCTGTGAATCATCGCACTTGAGTGACGACTCTCTCTCTAAGAGTGTTGCATATTTTTCCTCCAGTCCTTTTGTAAAAGATTCTAAAGAGCGCAAAGATTGTTAATAATGGCCGCTACTAAAACCAATAAGAAACAACAGAAAACACAGAAAAAGGTTTGTCTTTTCACCCAAAATCAATCCGTGAATTCACACTCTGAAGTCATTCATGTTAAATTATACTAAAAAACACTTTCTCTTCTTTTTTTTTTAGAATACTCAAGAGAAAACAACGAGCAAAAGGGCAGAAAAATCAAGCAAGTCTTCGTCTGTTTGCCCCTGGATTTTGGGCATTTTCCTACTCCTTGGCGCTGTCGGTGGCATCATTGGATATGATGTTCATGTTCATGGTGGTCAATTTGAAGGTGAGAGAGATTAGACTGGCAAATGCAATGCATTCACATTGATACATTGGCGCTGAGTGGACTAAATTCTCGATGACGTTACATTAAGAGCACAATAATAATTTCAAGTGCAAGTGCTAATTGTCCGTCCTAAATACTACTTCAGCGATACATTGTGATTATATTGTGTGTCTCTGATGCTCTTTGATTTAGCAAGCTAAGAATTTTAGGAGATTTTGTAGTCAGAAACACGTTTTGTGTGTGAAGAAAACTCTGTGTGATTTTACCTTGAAAAGCATCCAATCACAGCTTTTCAGTCTCATCCAAGTAAACACAGATTTCACACTAAGATAAAATGTGGGATTTCAGAATATAAAATAAACACAACTTCTAGACAGAGAAATTATGCGAGAATTACGGCTAAAGTGAAGCAAACGTATAGAAACTTTTAAGAGCTTTAAGAGATTACTTTGAAATTAAACACAAAGGGAAGTTTATATGCCTTAAATCAGTACACCACTTTCTGACACTTCCAAATATACTTAAAAACCTCTTTTTGGGTATCTTTTCCGATCATAACCTAAAAAAAACACTAAGAGATCTTTAAAAACCCCGTATTGAGCTTAGAATTGCTGATTCAGAGTGGAAATCGTACAGAAAGGCTTCTAAAAAACAATTATCCAAGTCTAAATCAATATTTTTGAGGTTATGTTCGATTTTAACACAATTTTTAGCGTTTCTTGTCGTCAAAGATTCAGAATAGTAATGTTTATTGCATGAAAATGCTGAATTCTGCCAATGATTAGCGATCTTTCATGCGAATCATTCGCTAAATCTGTCCTCGATTCGCTACATAACCTAGAAAAGGATTATTTATTATTATTTCTACGCTTTCTACGTGAAAAATCACAAGTAATCCAAAGAATCGGGATGATTTGTTAGTAAAAGAAGCACTCAGGAAGGGAATATTGTAGGCTTTTGAACACTTCCACTTCCTAATACTCCGGCTAAGTTGTACACCACTTCTGACTGTACTGTTTTCCCCTTGATAAAATGCTCTGTTCACTGGTTTTGCAGCTTCCTCGACGGGGCGATTCCTCAAAGACACAGGAGCGCTGCCGTACGTGGAAACCGTCTGGTTCACGAGCCTCTCCTACTCGGCACGTGGCTATCAGTGGGCCGAGGTGAACGTGCCCGTGTACTATGGCCAGGCGCGCACTGCCCTGACGCCCTACTACGAGTTCAGCGTGGACATTGCCAAAGTGGGATGGAGTTTGACGAAGAAGAGCGTGTGCGGAGCGTGCAACTACATTGCGGAGAAGTCGCCGGTGGTTGGGAATTTTGTCGATCAATACATTCCCGGACTGTCGCAGCGTGTTGTCGACACATCCCGCGCCACGTGGGACACAGTCTCTCGTCTGTCCGTCGAGACGTACCATGGCGGATGCGATTTCTTCAGGACAAAAGTCTTTGTGTAAGTTTCTCTGAAAGCGCATGCAAGGAGATTTTGTGAGTGGATTGTGATGGAAATGTGTTCCTTTTCAGGGGTTCCCTGTCGCCGGAAAACCTCAGCAAAGCCCTCAATGAGACCCAATTGGCTGTTGGCCGATACTACAGTTGGTTTCACGACAAAGTTGACGCCTATGCGAAGATCAAGTGAGGACATCCGAGCTGAATGTAATCGTGTTTGGGAAGCATTCTTAACGAGCAGGACAACAACAACAAAAAAACATCTATTGGAAATTTATATTAGGAGTGCGACACTGGAGAATCCTTTTTCGGCACTCTCCAGAAGCCCCCCCTGAGAATTTTTGACAATTTTTCTTCTTTTACCAACAAATTGATGCTCTAGAATGAATATTTAGGTATAATTATTTGTCCCTCCCCAAAAATTCTTATATTACCTTTAAACAAACAGAAAAAAACACTCCCGTGACTTTATCTTTTTGTACAATTTGTAGAGTTTTTTTCTTTTCTTCTTTCACCACGATTTGGGGTCCTTTCCGTGTTAGGGAAAGGATTCCCCACAGTCGTGTAGCATTTTGTGTGATTGATAGGGAGTGATTTCTTGATGATTGTGAGGAACAGATGATAGCCATAAAAACTTAGATGTATATTTCATTGGGGGAAAAATGTAGTTTTTTTTTCTTGCGTCGAAAGTGTCTAAAGAGAATAAAAGAGAGAAAAAATCACTTAATTCATTCCGAAATGCTCTGTGTGTATTTTAAAACACTTCCAGCTGCTCAATGGGCAGCCACTTGGAGCTCTCCACGGCGTCCCAGAGATTCCTGTCGCGATCCACGGTTTCGCGGTTGAGTTTGTCGGCGTCCAGGGTGAATTTGTGCTCCACCAGCGTCATGTCCTCGTCCTCGTGCGGCGCCTCGTACGCATGATGGTGCGTCCAGTCGCCCTGGGCGGCGACATGGCCGGAGCCGTGGTGCGTCATGGCCTGGTGATAGTACGCCGTGGCGTCGGCGCCCTGCTGCTGGTCGTAGTATCCCTGCCAGGCGTAGCCCTGCCAGTACGACGGATCGTAGTACTGCGAGTAGTCTGTGCTGCCGTACGCGCTCTGCAGGATGCTCGTGGCGGACGGCGTGGCGGGACTTGTGGCCGTCGTGGAGCCTTTAGGCTTAGGCACGGCATTGCAGATCTTCAGCGGACGACTGCCCAGCCCAATGTGGCCATTCATCTCGTACAGGGCGTTCTTCTGCTCGTCCTCCAGTCCGAAGCGCACGAAGCCGTAGCCCTTGGAGAAGCCCGAGCTGTCCAGGATCACTTTGGCCGTCTTGATGGAGGTGTACTTGCTGGAGAAGGCGCGATAGAGATTGTAGTCATCCACGTCGGAGCTCAAATCGCCCACCCACACGGAGAACTCCCTCTCCATCGCCCCCAGCGCCTTGCTCTGGTTGCTGGCGCTGTTCAGGCGGAAGCGCACGATGGGATTCGTGCCCGGAATCGGCTTGCCATTCAACTTGTGCATGGCATCCACGGCCTGCTCGTCATTCAGGAAGTTCACGAAGCAGTATCCCGCCGGCTCGCCTGTGTACTTGTTGCGCATCAGCTTGACCGTCTGGGGGTCCTCGCCCATCTTCTGGAAGGCTGCCATGATAAAGTTCTCCGTCATGTAGGGCTCAAGCTGTGCGGAAAGTGAGGTTAGACGCATCATTAGCTGGTTTTTCACCCTGAAAACGTCCAAGAAACGCTGAATACTCACGCTGCCCATCCAGAGCTGACAATGCACAACGCTGTTCATCCTTATTTGATGCTCTTCTCCGTGTAGAATTCCTTTTATTCACCCAAAACACGAAGAGCCCAGAATCAAAACAATCCGGCGTCAGTCCCCGGAATTCAGAAACCTCTCAACGTTGTTAATGTATCGAAAACGCATTTATTATTGAATCCAATTGAATCATTCATTTTTTTGTTGCTCCACAGAAACTCAAGCCATTCTTCGCTCGTGTGTTTTCCTGCATTAATTGAGACTTCTCAAGTGGAATATAAAGATTATAAGCTTTTCAAAGGGTTTGAAAATGAAATGCGAGAGAATAAATGAAACCATCTACAGTTAGAAAAATCTATCCTCGTGGGGAAAATTTTAGGATCTCGCGCAGCATTTTGCATAACAAATCTCATTTTCTGGTCCTCGCCTATTCACTCGGATCGCTGAAAAGGTAGAGAGAGTCATTAGCAAGGCATCCAGAGGGATAACGTGGATAAAATTGATAGGATTTACCCAACAAAGGACTTTGAATGACCACTAATCAAGTCTTCATCCTGATTCCCGATCGATTTCTTCACGTACTGCAAGAGGAAAAGGAAGAGAACTTGTTATTTGAGATAGAGAATATGATGGCGCAGAGACTTGCCATCAAATTCAGCATAATCTCCTCCTCCATCTTGATGATCTGCTTGTTGAGCTCCATCACGCACGCCATGTCGTCCTGCACTTTGAGAAACATGTCCGGAGAGTCGTACTTCTCCGGGTCGTCCTTGAACACCACCATGCCGTCCTTCTGGTTGATCGAAGCGAAGATCTCGCCTGATTTGATCATGTTGAGAATGTACTCCTCCGCCTCGCCGGGCCCCGACAGCTGCACGCGACTCGCCACGTCGGCCAGCGACAGCGTGAGGAAGGTCTTGGTGAGTCGCTGGATGTTCTTCTTGCACAGCGATCGCGCCACCTGCTGCACCAGTCCCGTGTTCGTGTCATTCCTGTACGTGTCACGATACTTGCTGATCACGTTGCGCATCTCCTCGCTGGAGGCCGTGGCGTAGGCGTTCGCCAGCTCGTGGTACGCATGGCTGAGTGGCTTCATGAAGCGCGCAATCACCTGAGACGAGTACTTTGGAATCGGCATGATCTTGCCGTGCAGAATCAGCGACACGAGCAGGAATTTCTTGTACGATTCCAGCATAATGTGCGACATGGCGAGCGCCGGCGTGGACACGGCCACCTCGAAGAAGTACAGGGCTCTGTCGTAGTTATGCACCGCCGTGTAGATCATCCCGCCGTAGTAGTAATACAGAAGGAAGTATTTGGCATCGTGATTGCTATCCTGCAACGCACAAACAACAACATTTCATCAATTCTGACCCATTTTCTCCCCCTGCAGAGCAATTCTCACGTCTGTCGAGGCAATCGCTGTGATGTCAGTGTCCAAGAATTTCAACACAGGACTGAAGACTTTGGCGCAAAAGCTGAGCTGACAGAGATCTGCATGAATGGCGGTCAATTGTGTCTCAAACAAGCGGATTTTATCGATGGCCTGCGCCAGAATGGGGATGCCCTGAATGCACGGAATTTGGTGTTTCACAAGATAGTCAGCGAAGAGGTGGCACAGCTCCACAACTGCAAAAGACAACAAACATCATTAAGAGCCCCACGAAACTCTTTCATCTGTGGAAACTCACATGTTTGTGGCGCAAAGCGGATCTGCTCTCCATTGCAGACCGAGATGAATTCCCTAACAAGGCTAATTATGCTGTCCGCCTCCTCTGGGGCTCCCTGAAACAGCCCAAAAAGACACAATCTCAGCACTTCCAGTCACTCCCAAAAATAACCACAAACTCACCGTCAAATTGCTGAACTTGGCCACCAGGACGTACAGGACGCCCAGAGAGTGCTGCTGAAAGTCCAGCGTCTCGAGGACATTATCGAGATAGTTGGTGTTTTTAGCTAGAACTACCGTTGTCTGGTTGCATGACTCCACCAACTCACGGAAGTTTCCTGCGATGGAGCAAACATCGGGGCTTTTGGAGGTTAGGAAATCTTCTGCACGCCACCAAACTCACCTGAAGCACTCTGTGTGCGTACATTATTGACAAAGTGCTCGAGTGCAGCAGACATTTTGCATTCACAAACTATTTTCAGCGATAGAGAGTCATTTACACATGTTTTTTCGCAATATTTACGGCGTTCACGACAAATTTTCCCAACTTCACGGATGTCAACTCCACGATATATCGTCGATTAATTCACCACTCGTGGAATGCCGAAGGTGGGGAGAATATGAAAAACACCGATAACGGCTGAATAAATACAATTATCGCAATTATCACAGCAAGATTTATCTTGTACCTTCTGCTCACTAATTTGCCATCAATCTCTATGTGTCTTCGAGTTGAAATAATCATTTATTGCTGTCCCGAAAGAATAAAAGAGAAAATCGAGAAACTGATTTGATAATGTCGATAATGCAGGAGAGGGGAAACTTCATCAGCTGGGAGCGAAATCTGATGGTATCTTACTTTGTTTACGTTTTTGATGGATTTTCCACCGTTTTAGCTGTGAAAATTGCCGAAAGGAAGGTGTCTGGAGATGGCACGTGCAGACCTGGACGTGGATTATCATGCACTCTACGAGTAAGTTCTTTCTTGCCACGGGAAATCATCATTCCTCAAGCATAACCACACTTTCAGGCTGTTGGTGGACAAGAACATTGAGCACCAGACTTTTGAGGTCATTTGCTCCACAATCCAGAAGAAATTCGCCAAGGCAGACTTCTTGAGGGGTAAACAAGTGACCAAGGATGAGGATGACTCGGTTTTCTAATGCATCTTCGGTGTCTTTGCAGTGGGAACTCTGCTGATGCTTCTTCTCCGACAGGGAGACTTTCCGGGCGTAGTTCAGCGCATCAGCACGTATTATCTGCTGCTGGAGTTGTTCAGGAGTGACGGACAGACTGAATCGCCCTTCCTGAGTTTCCTCGTGGCACAATTTGATGCCAAGGATGCGGCGACGGCGAAAGTGAATGTGATTGAGAGGAACTTCTTGGGACAATTGCTGTCCGCCGGCACGAAGGAGCTGAGCAAACAGACTCCGCAGCAAGTGATGCAAGCGGAGCACTTCCCTGGGTCGCAGGACATCTTCAATGCTCGCCAGCAGGCGCTGGAGAAGGAAAAGGAGCTGCCGGCGTCCGTGAGAGCGGGCGTGCCGAATATCATCGCGGCGCCCACGACGGAGGGCGAATCATCCATCCGGGAACTGCTTGAGCGACTGACAACGGCGGATTCGCCGCTCAAGAGTCGCCTGGCGCCGAAGTTCATGACACTGGCGCCGCCGCTTCTGCCCTGCGACGACGAGCTGGTGTGGTTCGACGCCACGAATCCCGCCTGGCACCGGCCGATCTACGACATCACGATGTGCTCGTCCACGAACCTGTGCTGGGAGGTGAAGAGGCTCCTGGCGCAGGCCTACAAGCAAGCGCTCACGATTCCGGACCAGCAGAGACTGAGCAGCGCCCTCGAGAGAGACCCCAACATTGTCTATCACATCGGCTTGACGCCCACGCAGCTGCCCAATCTCGTGGAATTCAACCCCATGGTGGCCATCGAGATCCTGCTGAAGCTGATGAACTCCACGCAGATCACCGAGTACTTCAGCGTGCTGGTGAACATGGAACTCTCCCTGCACTCGATGGAAGTCGTGAACAGACTGACCAATTCCGTGGATTTGCCGTCGGAGTTCGTCCATTTGTACATCAGCAACTGCATCTCCACGTGCGAGACCATCAAGGACAAGTACATGCAGAGCCGACTGGTGCGCCTGGTGTGTGTCTTCCTGCAGAGCCTCATCCGGAACAGGATAATCAATGTGAAGGAGCTTTCGCTGGAAGTGGAGGCGTTCTGTGTGGAGTTTGGGCGCATCCGCGAGGCCGCCGGCCTGTTCCGGCTCCTCAAGCAGATGGAGGTGTGCGACACGCAAGCGCCCCTCGGCGCCAGAGCCTCCCCGCCGCAACCGTCGTCGCCCAAAGAGTGACTCAAGACTGTGAGTTGAAAATCTCTCTTTCAAAATGGAATTATATACACACTCAAGCGTCCGCGATGTGGATTGAATGTCCGTGGATTACGTGAGGGTCTCCCCTTTTGTCACGCACGCTTCCAGATAGTCGATCCGGCGCTCCAGGATGGTCAGTTTCTCGTTGAGCACGGCAAGACGGGAGCGACAGGACATGTCTGAGAGGCACAAACACAACACAAGAGTGACGACGGGCCGGAAGTGGGCAAAATCAGGCGGAAACTCACCGAAAGAGTTGAGAAAGTCTGTGATTCTCTTGATGCTGGCCGTGATGACCTCGATGTACTCCCGATTGGCCCAATCCTGGTGAATTTGCCGCTGATTGTGAGACATTTTGCAACTCTCCTTCAGTCACAACAAGAGTTCGATGAATCGATTTACATCCGCGACACTGGCGCTTCGCATCGGAGAAACGCTGAAGTGTGCCGAGTGGTGAGTAGAATTCCTTCTGCTTTAGCTTGGACCACAACCACCTGAGAATCTCTCTACTTGAGAGCGAGAGAGAGCGAAAATCGATTTCTCAACGCGATTATGTAAACTTCTTTTCATGGTGAATTCAGTGCTTTTTCGGGAAAATGAAGATTTCTCCGGCCTTTATGGGAATTTTCTCAATATTTATGGTTAAAATATTGATGGACACTTTTGAAAATACATAAAATGCACTTTCTTTTCAGTTGAATTAATTATTCTTACATTTTCAACATAAAAGACGAGAAACCAAACTATTTTTGGAGTGTTACAATTGTAAAAAAAATTGTAATAAATTCTTTTCTACACTAAATATAAAGTAGGAATACAATTAACACGGTTGGAATTCTTTGTCGGCCAGCGTGACGAAAAAATCATCCTTCAAAATGATGAGAAGAAGTGTTTAATTATTTAGTAATTTCGGTATAATGAACGATCAGCTCGAAATTCTCCACAACGCGATAATACATAATGTTAATCATACGCCTAAGAGACAGGATAAAGATGATTTCATCATTTCATTCATTCTAGCAAAAAGTATTGCAAAGAGGAAGTCTAGAAGATATAATAAATTTTTAATTGGAAAACACTGCGGCTATAATTTTGCGCTAAAAATGCCTGAAGCAGTGCTGAGGCAAAAGCCTACGCGGAATCGTCGGACGCGCTCGAAAGCTGAGTGCAGAATCGGCACAGTTCGTTCCCCTCGCGAACGACGGAGAGCCGAAGATGCTTCGCTCCAGTCAGAGAAGTTTAGCCAAAGTGGCAGCCATTCAGCAACGTTCGTTTGATTGCGTTAAAAGTGGGAAAGTCGTCGCTATTGGTCGACTTCAGCCACTCATAAATCGCTATTTTTGGGACATTTTTGCAAAATGACCAGAAAAATATGTCAGACTTCCACAAAACTAAGTGTTTCTGAAGAAAGATTTTGAAAATATTTAGAATTACGGAAAAAATGAAAATTTGAGGCGTTCCAAAGTCCATTTAAATTCGACCTTCAGGGAAAACAAGTGAGAAATAATAAATCAAGGATTTTATGAGAAATTTCATGTCACAAGAAACTAAAATGTTTTGGTAATAAGATGTGATAAATTTATTTTCGAAATATTGCAAGATTTAAAGATTTTTATTAGAATGTGTCTGAAAGTCCATTTAAATTCGACCGATAGAAAATTGAGTGATCGAAAAAGTGTTCTTAATGCAAAAAAATTAAACTTTTTATTACATTTCCTTAATAATTTCGTATTTCTCTTTTGCATGAGGTAACAATTTTTAGTGATATCGAAGTGAAAATCCACATATAGAAAATTCAGTGAATGTCGAATTTAAATGGACTCAGAAAATAGTGTCTCGATTTTAACAACTCTTTTCAATAAATTTTTTCCCAAAAATGATTAAAATAATCAGAACACACCTTAAAACATATGTTTTCGTAGTCAAATGAAACTTTTCCGTGGAATTAGCAAAAACTCTCAGATTTGCTTCACTTTGCTTGGTCGAATTTAACTGTACTTCGCACAACAGTCGAATTCCGAAGCGACGGCAATCGCAGATCGGAAAAATGTTCTCCGACTATCTGACTTTATCACCCTTTTGGAAGCGCATTTTCCCCTCTTTTTCTATGCTTACAAGAGATTCTGATAGAGCAATTTCCGGTCGTACGTTTTCCACTGGCAGTTTTCCGTCTTTGTGGGGGGAGTTTTTCTCATTGCCCAGAAATGTTTTTGCACAACTTTTCTTCCGCCTCATTACCCAATTTCGATGCACAATTCTGTTTTCTTAGGGACTTGTGCGGAACTTTAGATTTTTTGGGTTATTGGAAAATCTGTCTAAGGATAATGACGTTACGAAATGAAGTTTCAACGGCCAGAAGAAATGCTTGAAATCCCTGAAATTGGAGTCCGCTTGAATGGTTGGCGCTGAATGAAGGCTCTCGTCGCCTGCTGCGATATTCTCCTTATGTACAATTGCGCGAGCGAGAGGGCAAGCTGGGTGTCGCGCGAGGGCGAGCGAGACGGGGCGATACATGGGTTGCTGAGTGCAGCTCCGCGTGTTCGTCTCCTCGTCGTGAGCGCGTCGTGGAAGCGCGGCAACGGCGCCTCACACGGGGAGTGCGTGACAGAAAAGTGGCAACGCCGTGGCGCTCTCGCTCTCGCTCCGGCACGCGCGGCGAGAGTGGGACAGAGTGCGTCCATATAGGAGAGATAATGATAATGATGCCAGTAATTTATTCACTGTGTGTGGAGCGCTTTGGAGAGGGAGACGGCCTCGGATTCGATTTATTGACTGCTCGCCAGACTTTCGCAGTTCCGACCCCGAAAAGGTATCCGAAAATTTGCATTCCCAACTGTCATAATGGCAACAATTCTTGGGCTTTCCACCGACAGATACGTCAGTATCGTGGCGTTTCTCTCCTTGAATTTCACCGTGCGATATTTGCATAAATTTGTCGCGATTGCAGCCAAATGGGCTCAATTATGCACTGAAGAGCGTCTCAGCCGGCGGTAAAATGAGTCTTTGGCACGTTCAAAATGCTTCTTTGTTTCAAAAAACACAACACAATTGCACAATAAACGTGAAAGTGCACAAGTGTTGCAAATTTACATGACGGAACATTAAATTTGATAAGCCTCAACTAATGGAGGATTTGTTTCAATTTACACTTCCACAGAGAAGAGCGACAAGGGTTGATTTTATCTGAATGGATCAGTTTTGCTCTTCCATCACACGATTTAATTTCAGGGTTGTAAAATCGGGTGAGAAGATTAGGATGGCTCAGACACCTGCACCGCCTGCTTGACGAGCGAAGAGGAAATGCCGTTCCCGGACAAGGTGGATGAACGTAGTGGACGATGTCCTTAAAGTCCTGGCCTTTAAAAGGAAGTTAGAACAACTTCAGTAAGTAAGTGAGTTCAAGAATCAATCCTCTGATCTTTTCTAAACCATAATTACTCAAATTATCCGTAAAATACCTATTTTTCCTGAAATCAACTTAAAATGTTCTTGATTTTACTCTTTAATGTTAGAATCTAGACAGCAAATTATTAAAACAACCATATTTTCCCTAAAATTAACGTTTAAAGTGTGGCCAGAGTTAATGACCAGCTGAATTCCGTCACTAATCCATACCTGAGGAAGGGAAAATAAACATCCCGAAACGTATTAAAGAAGAAGAAAAGGAGTTTTACCGTTTTCACATTGAATACCGGCTGTTAAACTCAATCAATCAACTGAACATATTCTTAGTTTAACCCAATTGATGTATTAATCTTCAAGTTTTGTAATCAATTCTTAAATTTACTATTGATTCTCGAGTTTTCAACAAGAAATAAGAAAATGAAGAAAAACATTTATTGGCTAAAAACCATAGTTTTATTCTTGAACACGCCAAGATTTCTCGCTGTGAAGAATAAATTCACAGTAATGATATAAAATCAATTCTCTGTTTTACTTTAGAAACAACCCTGTTATGAATGTTCTTTTGGAGCGAACACAACCCTTGTGAATTGAGACTGAATTTCTTGATTTCACCCCAAAAAATGTCTCTTTAAAATTCTCTACTGGAAAAGTTTTTTTTCTCTTCCTTTCTAATAGTTTATCGACTTTTACATGTTTTTGGGCTTTACTTTACGTCTCTCAGAATGACACACTTGAATATTTGATGCAAGAGAAAATGGGAAAAGGTCATAAAACGAGTGTGAAATAGGCTTCATTCGTCGATGTCAATTTTCACGTGAAAAGTGGGGAAAAAGAGAGGAAATAAAAGGATTGAAATGGGAAGAATTCTCCTATGTTGTGTGGGATTTAATGGGATTTCCTGCCAATCCCATGGGAATGCTTAAAGTCTCGTGTGTGTGTGCGTGGGGGATTTCCACCCCCGCTTCGAAAAGTGTTGACACGTGATTCCGAGACAAAATGCGTGGGTGGATGAGATGAGAATTTATGTGTCGAAGGGGTTGGGAAGATGGAGCAATTTGAGATTATCGAGGTGAAATAAATGCCCTTGTTTCAGCATTATGCAAAAATTATCATTTCAACATCATATTTAATTCATCTTTGCCGCTGTGTAATTTTGTAAAATTAAATTAAACATTCTACACGTGAAACAATCCAATAATTTACACACTCATTAGCGTCAAATTATTTCATTATTGTGTGGGGATTTTCTCTCGCTCTCTTGCAGCAAAACTTCTATCAAATATATCTTTAGTTTCATGCCATCTCACAGTCAAACATCGTTCTCTTCTTGTACACCACATTTTTAGTAGCATAAATAAAACACCTTCGCTGCTGTTCGCTGAATTATGGCTGTGGATGAATAATGAAAGGAGAAAAAAGATGGAAGAGGCGCAATCGCGGGGGAAAAAGGAGGATATCAAAACAGAATTGAAATGTGAATACATTAAATGTTCTCTTTTTATCTTGCCATTTTTTTCTCCTCCTTTTTCTGCGCCTTCAATCGAAAAGTAGATTTATTGCCAGTGCATTTTGCATGATATCTCTTTGGTCTTTATCTCTCAATCTTTATCTCCTGACGAGCACACACTCGTCATCGAAGTCCTCTTAAGCCCGCTTGCAAGATAAAATATTCATAATCTCACGAGGAGCAGAATTGTAAGACAAAATCAATCGTCAACGGGCATTTTTTTTACCGCTGAGAGCGAATTTCTTCAAATTGCCGTAGAGAAATTGTGGCTTTTGTTGTTCTCATTGCACCCTCCCCTTCCGCCAACCCCTAATTGCCAATTCAGAGGGTCTGCGCGAAGCCCTCAATGTCAATTTCAGTCGGTATCACCGAGCGTTTCCTTCTTGGGCATAACTTAATTGTCCATATAATGAAAGGACTCTCGCAGGAGAGCAAAAGAGGGTTTGGAATTGAACGCTATTCTGTATGTATAGCGATCAATAACCCATTAAAATGGT